TAAAAAAAAAAAAAAAAATCTAAATTTTTTTTTTCTTATTATTATCATTATTTATTTATTTATTTATTTTATTACAAATAACCATTTTTTTAACATATGGCAACGATTTATTATTGCCAAATTTGTGAAGAACTTATAGTTGATGAAGATGAATTACCTACAGTAGGAGATTTTTGTTCAAGAAAATGTGGAAAACTTTTTGATAAATACGGGTAAATATCATCGTTATTTTTTTTTTCTTTGCCTCTATGCCTCTATGCTTCTATGTCTCTATGCCTCTATGCCCCTAATTCTAATAATTCTAATAATTCTTTTTACTTTTTCTTTTTTATTTTTAGTTTGGAAGGGGGTAAAAAAGAATTTAGAAAGAAGGGAAAAGATAATGTAAATCGAGTAGCAAATGATGTTCCTGTTAGAAATTTGCCAGCAGAATCCATTCCAGAATTAACTAATAAAAATTCATTAAAAAAGAAAAAATCTAATGTTGATGATGATAAAAATGTTGTTTTTAAGAATAATAATTCTTTTTTTACTTTTATTGGTAAAAATAAGAGTAAAACTGATCTTAGTAAACAAAAGGATTATGATGATTCTTTGGAATATTTTAGAAAACAAAGTGAAATTGAACATTCAATGAGAGATGTTCCTGATAAATCTAACATACCTGATAATACTATTAATAAACAAAAAGAACAATTAAATAGACCATCACCTTCTCATGTATCAGAAAATAAGAGAATTGCAACACCGCCTCCACCTCCCCGTGTAGAAAATAAGAGAATTGCAACACCGCCTCCACCTCCTCGTGTAGAAAATCAAAGAATCGCAACACCCCCTCCTCGTGTAGAAAATCAAAGAATCGCAACTCCTCCTCCTCGTGTAGAAAATCAAAGAATCGCAACACCCCCTCCTCGTGTAGAAAATCAAAGAACACCAACACCCCCTCCTCATGTAGAAGATCAATTACAAGCAGAGGACCAATCATTATTATATCCAGATATAAAATCAAATAGGCCACCAATAGAAGACTTCGAAAGTCTTGATATTAATGAACCTCCTCCATCTTATGATGCACTTTTTCCTGATCCTCCACCTCAACCTGTAAAAGTGGAAAAATCGTTACCTATTCAACCTACTGAAAAGAAACCTATTGTTACTGATCAAAAGAAGCCTATTGTTACGGATCAAAAGAAGCCTATTGTTACGGATCAAAAGAAACCTATTGTTACTGATCAAAAAAAACCTATTGTTACGGATAAAAAGGAACCTAATACCAAAGCAGTACCCCCACTTTTACCTCCAAAAGTTCCTCCAAAAGTTTCTATTCCAACTGCAACGAGAGATATCACACCACCACAACCACAAACAACACACCCTTATTCGAATCAATTCATCCCCAATAATTTCTCTCCAGATAGTAATAGTTATCAACAGTATTATTTTCAACAATTTCAATTTCAACAACAATTTCAACAACAATTTCAACAAAATCCACATTTTCAACAAAATCCACACTTTCAACAAAATCAACATTTTCAACAAAATCCACACTTTCAACAAAATCCACACTTTCAACAAAATCCACACTTTCAACAATCACAAGGTACTCCAAATGATACTTTCGTTAAAGATCAGGAATCTCTCCCTTCTACGGTTTATCCTCCTCCATTTTACACTACTAGATTTAACAAAAATAATGGTGCATAAACATTTTTAAACTATTTTTGAACTGGTCTATATATATGTAGTCAATACAGTATTTGTTATTCTTACATGTAATAATTAATTAACAAATAAATTATATAAAGACAAGTTTCAATCATAATTATTGCGTGGCGCAGTATTCCGTCTTCCAAAATCAGCTATAAATCAAATATTTATTTATTTGTAAATAAGATCACGTTTCAATTTATGTAAATTCGATTTTGTATCACACAAATATATTGAGAGTACGTTGCCTGTCGTTACTCCTTTTTCATCTATATTAATTAATCATTTCATAGATTGCGCCTACTCTTTCTTTCATTATCACCATAAATAGGTTTATTTCATGCCCTTTTGATATATAATAACAAAAAGAAAAAAAAATTGACACTAAAGTTTTTCTTAATATTTTTACTGGTGGTATCTTTGAAATTATTGGTAGTATAAATTAATTTTAAGGATAGAAGAGGATTTGTATAAAAATTTAACAATAAATTAATAATAATAATATTGTAATTTTATATAAATATCATTATATATTTTAATTGGTACAGCGAAAATGGTTTAAACCTGTTAAAAATATCTCAAAAGTTATGATGTCATTCATTCATTTACATAATGTAAAACTTGTGTTATCAAATTTATTATGTAAATTAGAATTAAAAGAAAAAAACAAATAATCTAGCATCGTATAATATATTCTTTGTCCCATTTTTGTCATTACATTTTTTTTTTCTTTTAAAAAAAAAATTACTTATTATTCATTGGTTTAAAATAATAATAAAATAATAATAAAATATAATAAATTTATAAACTTGAAACACAATAATAATTAATTTTCTAAAATGTACATTATTATGCTTATGTAAAATGATACATTGTATGATATGGTGATTACTTGTACCGTATAGTTGACAATTGACTATACCATACATACAAACTAGATACTCATTATCGTCATGTCATAAGCAGGCTAATTTAATATCCTTCCACTACACGCGTATTTAAAATTACCCATAAAAAAATTTCTGTGAAAAACTCCGATAAATCTAATTTTCATTCCAAAAAAAACTCCGACATTTTCTAAAAATTTTTTTTTTTTGAGATAATGCCACATGTTACATTTGAATTCTCAATTCCAAATATCGCTTTATTTGATTGGGACTACCATTTATCACACTACATGTTGAATTTCTTTCATCACAACAATTAATCTGCAAGAAAGCAATTAAAAAACTTTAATTCAAAGTATAGTTTACATTAAAATACATTGTATTGTTTATGATATGCAAGACCTTCAAAGACCAAAGGCTATATGAGCTGCAATGTAACCCATCAGGGTTTCGATTATATCTAGAATCAATATTTTAAACAAAGAGATATAGTAATAACAAAAAAGAGGTATCCGAAATCGGCATCTTCCGGTAAAAGAAATGTATATCTTCCATACGCACGAATTGTCTTAGCTCTTGGGTAGTTCTTGGTAATTATATGCTAACTTAATTGTATTAATTAACTATGCTGCACAACAATAGTGGATATTCCTATATATAGCGAAATTACAAAGAATAATGTATCACATGAAACGGATTTATTATTTGCATGTATTACATGCTCAATTTTAGGTAACATCGCTTAGAGGGAACATACATATGTTAATCTTTAAATTAATTAATGGTTTATTAAATCTATTATGATATTTAATATATAAAAATTATTATAGTTATAATAAAAGATGAAACATGATATATATATAATATAATTAATTCTAATCAAATTCTAATTTAAAAGTAGTATGATATTCTTCGTCATTTTGTTTGTTCTTTGCCGTAGCTCTAATCTCCATTTCACCGAATCGAAGAGTATATAACACTGATCGGTTTAGACCAAGATGAGTATCTAAAACGAAAAAAAAAAAAAAATTAATTAATAAAATTAAAATTAAAAAACTTTAAAAATTTCATAAATAAATTAATTATTAGTTTACCTGGCATGTGAACACTGAAATTACCGAGTAATTCAACACCTGGTTCATCACAATATTTTGCGGACTTATCTCTCGATACATAAATATCCATATCCATGCTTTTTTGTTCTGATAATGTAAAAAATAGTTCATTAAAATTAAAATAATAAAATAAAATAAATAAATAAATAAATAAATTTTCAAGCACGTACCTGGTCGTGCAACAGTAAAACTATGAGAAACTTCTTCATCGACATCAATATGCTTTCCTTTTTCTGCCAAGGTATAAAATTTATAAATTCTTCCATCTTTTCCTTTACGTTCTTTCGGATCACCAGGTTGCCAAAGAGGAGAGGTTTTTGTACCATAAGTATATTTTAATACACGTGATTTAATTATTTTAGTATTGAGACCGTAATCAACAGCTCCACGTACAATAGCAGCAATTGGTTGTTTTGGTACAGAAATATTTGGTACTCTATTTTTAAATTCTTGTTTAACTCTTGTTTGTAAATATTTTGATTCACTAAATCCTCCAACTAAAAACATTGCAGAACATTTATCACTGGTAGAATTAAGTTGGTCTTTTATCAGAGTTATAATCTTGTTTACTACAGGATCAAACATTTCTTTAACATCCTTGTAATTTAATTCAATAGACCAATCAATATCTTCTAATTTATCTTTAAGTGAATCTGAAACATATTGTTTTATAGCTGGACATACGTCTTCTAAATCAAAATCATATGTTCTAAAACTTGATTTTTCTCCATTAAATAACAATTTAACATGTCTACAAAATTCTTGTATCATATATTGAAATTGATTATAATGCTTCTTTCTTAATAGTTCTATTGCATTTGCTCCTACTTTTGTTGCAAGGAATTTTATAAATTCTTGATCTACATATGCTCCTCCACAGAATCCTCCTGTACGTTCTGTAGTTTCTCCTAATTTATTCGTACTAACTACTTTACGTCTTGTTAAATCCACCGTTCCGCCACCACAATCCACAATTAAGAACGATGCTATTTAAAAAAAAAAAGAAAAAAAGAGTGATTAAATAATTATTCTAAAATAATGAATTTTTTTTCTTTTGTTTTTGAAAATAATCCATACTTCCTACAGGATTGTCGAAATGTTCAGATAAAGTTCTCATACAATAAATCGCAGCAGCTTCGGCTAAATAAAAAAAAATTCGGTTTAAAAGGTTATTAAACTAAACCAGTCGAATTAACTAGTCGAATTTAGATTATTTTAACTTACGTTCGGTAGTGAACTGTAGACGATCAGTGTGAAGTTCATTAATTAATCCTGCATTATATGTACATTCTCTCATAATACTTTTGGATTTCTCTGAAAATTCCGCAGGGACCGTAATAATAATTTTAGCTTGTGTCATAAAATTAACACCCGGCCATCTTGTTGTAACTGTTTCTTTTATAAGCTGTAATTATTTTAAGGAAAAAATTAAATATGTTGTGAATTTTGAAGTAAATTTTAAATAATTCAAATTCTTTACCTTGCCTATATGTTTACATAAGAGAGATATATATTAATATTATATTAATTTTTAAATAATTCTTAAAAATAAAATTCTTAAAAACGTTTAAAACGGTTAAATTTAACTTACCCATTTCACGAAGATAATCACTGATGGCCTTTTTATAACTCAAACTAGGAGGTAAAATAGGTTTTTTTTCTTCGGGTATATCACCTAAATGTAATTTGAATAATTCTATAGGTTTAGGTGGATTACTAGTACGATCCTTTTTTCTTTGACGTTTTGCCAATGCTGGACTTCCCCATGCATCAATTTGAAGAAAATCTTCATCATATTGTAATACTGTATTAGTTTTTAATACACCAATATGTTCTGGCCATGTATCATTTGTTATAATTTCAGGATTAGCTCTATTAGCATATGCAAATCCCTATAAAAAAATTTTTCGAATTGTTAGGAGTTATATATAATATAGATAATCGGAAATGAAATATTCTATAAAGATGATTTCTTCTTACTGAATATGTTGTTCCAAAATCTTTTTTTTGATAATTTTCATTTTTATAATTTTTTTTTTAAAAAAGAAAAAAAAAATAAAAGATTAATTGTTAAAAAAAAAATTTGTTTAATATATGTATAAAAATAATATACGACATTTAATTATCAATCATTATGTACCTATACCAACGACCACACGAGTATCGTCATAAGCCATGTTTTAACTTATAATTTAAGGGAAAAAAATAAAGTTTTTTCTAGAATCGGATCTGAAATGGAAAAAATTTTTTTTTTTTAAAAAAAAAAAAGAAAAAAGAAAAGAAGAACCGAAACAATTAAATTTATGCAGATGTTCTATATAAATAAATTTATTGAAAGTCCATGTACTTGTATTTCATTTTCATAGTTGCTATTTTTGTAAATAATAAACTGTACTGCTGTACGCCAAAGATTGAAACAAACGTCGATCGTCGAATTTCTTTTTTTTGACCGCATCGGAGCAAATGAATTCATTCTCCGGAAAGAATGTTACCTATCACACCGGCGTGAAATTCAACGGGATTGTGCTACGGTTTATCACTAAATAATTGAAAAACAGAATGCTTTTTTTAGGCACATTAATTTCTTTTGTGAACTATAAATAGGAAGGCTGATGCTAATAACAAACCACAAATATTTTTTAAAAAAATATGGACATTCGTGTAGTGGTTGCTATAGGTAAGAAATTTTATAAGTTTTTTTTAAATATAATAAATATAATGAAATATAATGATACTAACAAATAAATGAACCGTTCATTTTAACAATCAGACTTTGGAACCACATTTTCGGTAAGATTGTCATAATAATCCGAGTTAATAGAGTTAATTTTATAAATAATTTTATTTCAAAAATATTATTAGGGTTTCGCATATGCTAATCGATCAAGTCCCGAAATTATTACAAATGATACATGGCCTCAACAAATTGGTCCATTGAAAACTAATACAGTTCTTCAATATGATTCCAATTGTCAAAACGTTATTAAATGGGGAAATCCCGCTTTGGCACAAAGGCAATCTCGTAGAAGAAGTAAAGATTCATCATCTTCAAAAACTGTGGAACTTTTTAAACTTCATTTAGGAAATATTCCACAAAATGAAAAACCTCCACTTCCTAGTCAATTAAATTATGAAAAAGCAATAAGTGATTATTTACGCGAATTAGGTAAACAAGTTAAACTTACAAATTACGTAAATAATAATTTTTGATTCTTACTTGTAGTATGATAAAACATTTATTATGTAGGAAAGGTATATATATAAATTTTTTTTTTTAAAAAGAAAATTCAAAATAGTTAGATATTTATAATTTTATTTTAACAGTTGATTAAGGAAACTATTTCTACTCGATGGCAAGGGATAAAATTCTTTAAACATGTTCTTCTTGTTATAAGTATTCCAGCGGAGTTCGATGATCATGCGAAAGATACTATGAGAAAATGTCTTTATAATGCTGGATTGACGGACTGTAAAGAATCAAAGAAAGTTGAATTTACAACTGAACGTAAGTCAACGATAAAATTCTATTTTTTTAAAAAAAAGGTATTCACCATTTTTATCTAATATTATACTCATAATATTTAGCTGAAGCTGCTGCAATTTATTGCATGCGAAATCTTGAAGAACAGAATAAAAAGATCCCAATTAATGGTTAGTACTTTCTTTTTAGCATTTAATGTGAAAGAAAAATACTCTTGTTGACATTATATAATTAATCTTTAGCGTCATTTATGGTTGTTGATTGTGGAGGTGGAACTGTAGATCTTACAACACGTAAATTATTGAGAGATAACAAACTTAGTGAAATTACTGAACGAACTGGGGATTTTTGTGGTGGAGCTTATGTCGACAGAGAATTTATTAAATTTCTTAGACGTAAACTTGGTGAATCGACTATAAATCTGCTTAAAGAAAATAATTATGGTCAAATGCAATACATGATACAACAATTTTGTCAAAAATCGAAATTTCATTTTACTGGAAATATAAATGATTTTAATTCTTATGAATTTGATATTGAAGAAAATTGTCCCATTTTGAAACAATATTGTAATGATGAAATTAAAGAAAAAATGGAAGATGATGATTGGATTATTGACATAAATTTTGAAGATATAAAATCTATGTTTGATCCAGTTATTGGAAAAATTATTAGATTAATTCGTGGGCAACTTAATTCTAGTAAGAATAAATGTTCTGCTATATTCCTTGTCGGAGGATTTAGTGAATCAAAATATTTACAAATGAGAGTTAAAGAAGAATTCGGAAAATTAGTTCCATTAATTATTGTCCCAAAGCAACCTATTTCAGCTATTGTTCGCGGAGCTTGTGACTATGGACTCGAAATGAGTACGATAGTGGATCGTACTTTGAAATATACTTATGGAATTAAAACTCATAGAGAATGGGAATTAGGAGATCCAATAAATCGATTGGAAAATGTTAAAGGGGAAGATAATCCTCTGATTGAGATATTTGACCCTATGGTTACACGAGGTACAAATGTAGAAGTTAATCAGGAATTTTCTGAAACTTATATACCTTTTAAGCCAAATCAAAATGGGCTTACATTTCGAATATATATTACAACTAAATTAAGTGCTAAATTTTGTGATGAACCTGGTGTGAAATTACTTGGTACATTAAGAATAGACTTACCAGATGCTCATCTCGGAAAAAGTCGTGAGGTCGAATGTTCGCTAATTTTTGGAAAAATGGAACTTGTTGTTAAGGCAAAAAATTTACTGAATGGAAAAATCTATAATACTTGTTTTGATTTAGATTTTAAAAATTAATGTAGATTTGTTAGTATCACAACTGTCTAACATTATATACTAGTGTTAAGACTCCTTTGGATAATTTATTGTAACAAACACTAACCGCGATGTTCTTTCATTTAATACCCGGACGAAAAATATTGGTCCGTTAATGTATAATTAGATTTTGTAATAAATTGCGTGTTAATATTTATAAGTGAGAATAAAAATTTAAAAATTGAAATTGGAAATTAGCTCCATCAATTATATCGCGATAAAGCACTTATGGAGTATACTTATGAAACTATGTAAAATAAGATCACAACTGCGCAAGTTATACATGGTAGAAAAGTATAAGTTGACAAGACTCGTCTTTCTTGTATATATCGATCGATATATCGTAAAACATTGAGTTGTGTACAATTTCCGTACATTTACTTCACATTTTTTTTATTATCTATCTATCTATCGCGTGAAAACAAATTAACGCAAGCAATTGTGAAGGTTTAACATTTACTAATAATTTCTACTGTGAAAATCATTTTCGTACATACATCGTTGCACATCAATAAGTGAATATTTACGTGAATTAGGTAAAACAAATTAAATTTTACGAATTACATGTATGTAATTAAATTCTTTTTTCGTAATAAAATAGATTTAGGAAAAGAAAAATCAATTATTTCTTTTTAAAATTTTTCCAAGCAGATTTTCTTAAATAGCTGATCAAGCATTTATTTCATTTATTTATTATATTATTCATGTGAAATCTTAAAGGACAGAATGAAATGATCTCAATTAAAAATAATGGTTAACATTATCTTTTATTATTAGCGTCATTTATGATTGTTGGTTGTGGAGGTGGAACAGACCTTGATTATTATATCAAAATAACAAACTGGGATTTTTGTAGTAGATATTATGTCGACAGAGAATTTCTTAAATTCCCTGTTTTAAAACAATATTGCAAAGATGATATTAAAAAAAGGCATTAATTGTGAAGATTTAAAATTTATTTTTAACCAGCCAACCCTTTATTGGAAAGATTATTTAATTCTAGTTGCCCCCATGTTCCTTATAGAAGGATTTAGTTATACAAATGAGAGTTAAAGGAGGATTCAGAAAATTGGTTTCATCGATTATTACGCCAAAGCAACCTATCAGCTATTGTCCGTGGAACTTGTGGCTATGAACTTAAAATGAGCACAATAGTAGATCGTACTTATACTTACGGGGTAGAATTTGGAAGGAAGGAATGGAATTTTCTAAAACTTATACATCAGTTACCACTAATCTTTCATTCGTGATATTTTAACCAACTGAATTAAGTGCCGAATTCTGTAATGAACCCGGTATGAAATTACATTAACCAATAACCATAGATTCATCTCGAGAAAGATCGTGAAGTTGAATTTTCGCTAACTTTTGGAATAATGGAACTTGTTGATGGAAGAATATATAATATATATAATACTTCTTTTGATTTAGATTTAAACTAATAATTCTTAATTTAGTAGTCATAATATATATGCTTACGTTACTTCTGGTTATATTGTTTTTCGCGCGAAACAATATTTCATTTGCTTTTCGATTTCAATATTAGAAATCATTTTAATACATATTTTAGTATATTTAATAGGCTTAATTAAGTGAAACTTTGCGATGCAACTATTACAATTAAGAAAAAAAAATGAAAATTACACCGCCGGTGTCCGGTAGGTAAGGTAGGATGCCTAGTTAAATAATGGAGAAATTACTTTCAGTGTTTGCATTGATGTAATTAGTTTGTATTTCATGTAAACTATGTTAATAATAAAGATTTGCAATCAATACGCACGAATTTAATGAAAAGAAAGTAAAGAAAGTCTACCATTACTATTTTCTGTCGCATCGGAACAAATAAATTTATTTTGCAATATTCTTTCGGATATAGTAGTTGCGATAATGTAAGAAAGTTTAAGAACCTATTATTAAATTGTATTGTAATATTATTTTAACCGTTTTATCTGTTATTTTTATAACAGATATTTTATTTATTTTATTTTATTACTAAAAGAGTAGTAGAACCCAGACTATTACAAATAAAAGAAGAAAGAATTTCAAAGAAAAAACTTAAACCCAATATATTTTTATAACAGATATTAAAATATTATGGAACAAAGAATTGAGCGCAGAATTCATCACGTGATCATCGATTTTCATTAACTCTTTCGCTCCGGACAATAACAATCACTTGCTACAAACCATAAACTTATAAGATGCTCATAATCGTAATTTGAATTTTTTTGTCAAAAAATGTATAATCTAGTTCCAAATTGGATTTTTAAAAATTTTATTACAATTTGGCAAGAGATATTAATGCAATATCTTCACGTGTCGCCGAAAATTCTCCCACTTCAGATCCAAAGTATATTTTATAATTTGATGCAACCAAATTCTTGTCTATCATTACTAAAATGGTGGAACACAAACAATTATTTAGTTATAAATAGGAAGCTTTTGGTTTTTAGTAGAATATTTTTAATGCAAACTGGTTAAAAAGTTTGTCAACAAACCAAAAAATTTTTTTTTTTATGAAAAATATGGATATTCGTGCAGTAGTTGCAATAGGCAGGAAAATTATAAATAACCTTTTACTAATATTTAAAATTGTAAAAATACTAAACAATAAACTAACTATTTATTTTACAAACAGATTTTGGTACTACATTTTCGGTAAAAATAATCATAATACATAGTTAATAGAATTAATTTTATTAATTTTATAAATAATTAATTTTATTGCAAAAACGATCAATTATTAGGGTTTCGCATATGCTTATCGATCAAGTCCCGAAATTATTACGAATGATTCTTGGCCTCAACAGATTGGTCCATTGAAAACTAATACGGTTCTTCAATATGATTCCAATTATCAAAATGTTACTAAATGGGGAAATCCTGCTTTGGCACAAAGACAATCTCGTAGAAATGGAGACTCATCATCTTCAAAAACTGTGGAACTTTTTAAACTTCATTTAGGAAATATTCCACAAAATGAAAAACCTCCACTTCCTCGTCAATTAAGTTATGATAAAGCAATAAGTGATTATTTACGCGAATTAGGTAAAACAAATTAACCTTACAAATTATGTAATTAATTCTTACTTGTAGTAATGATAAAACTTATTTATTATGTAGGAAAGGTACGCATAAAAATTAATTTATCTTTTTATAAAAAAAAAAATAGTTAGATCTTTCTCATTTTATTTAACAGTTGATCAAGGAAACCATTTCTACTCGATGGCAAGGGATAAAATTCTTTGAACATGTTCTTCTTGTTATAAGCATTCCAGCGGAGTTCGATGATCGTGCGAAAGATACTATGAGAAAATGTCTTTATAATGCTGGACTGACGAACAGTAAAGAATCAAATAAAGTTGAATTTACAACTGAACGTAAGTCAAAGATAAAATTCTATTTTTTTTTTCATACCATTTTTATCTAATATATTACTTTTAATATTTAGCTGAAGCTGCTGCAATTTATTGTATGCGAAATCTTGAAGGACAGAATAAACCGATCTCAATTAATGGTTAGTACTTGGTTTTAACATTTAATGCGAAATTTGTTGACATTATCTATTTATCTATAGAGTCATTTATGGTGGTTGATTGTGGAGGTGGAACTGTAGATCTTACAACACGTAAATTATTACGAGATAACAAACTTAGTGAAATTACTGAACGAACTGGAGGTTTTTGCGGTGGATTTTATGTCGACAGAGAATTTATTAAATTTCTTAGTCGTAGACTTGGTCAATCGACCATAAATCTGCTTAAAGAAAATAATTATGGTCAAATGCAATACATGATACAACAATTCTGTCAAAAATCGAAATTTCATTTTACTGGAAATATAAATGATTTTAATTCTTTTGAATTTGATATTGAAGAAATTTGTCCCATTTTAAAACAGTATTGTAAAGATGATATTAAAGAAAAAATGGAAGACAATGATTGGATTATTGATATAAATTTTGAAGATATAAAATCTATGTTTGATCCAGTTGTTGGAAAGATTATTAGATTAATTCGTGGACAACTTAATTCTAGTAAGAATAAATGTTCTGTTATATTCCTCGTCGGAGGATTTAGTGAATCAAAATATTTACAAATGAGAATTAAAGAAGAATTCGGAAAATTAGTTCCATCAATTATTGTACCAAAGCAACCCATCACAGCTATTGTTCGTGGAGCTTGTGACTATGGACTCGAAATGAGCACAATAATAGATCGTACTTTGAAATATTCTTATGGATTTGAAACTTATAGAAGTTGGAAATTTGGAGATCCAATAAATCGAAGAAAAAGTATTAAAGGGAATAATAAAACTAAAATTATGATATTTCACTGTTTAGCTACACGAGGTACAACAGTTGGAATTGATGAGGAATTTCGCACAGTTAGTTGTCCTTCTATGCCAGATCAAACTGAAATTTCATATCCGATATATATAACAACTGAATCAAGTGCTAAATTTTGTGATGAATCTGGTATGAAATTACATGGTACATTAACCATAGACTTACCAGATGTTCATCTTGGATTAGATCGCCAAGTTGAATTTTCGCTAATTTTTGGAAAAATGGAACTTGTTGCTAAAGCAAAAAATTTACGAAATGGAAGAATATATAACACTTCTTTTGATCTAAATTTAAACTTTTAATTTGTAATTTAGTCGTAATATACATGTTTACGTTACTTCTGGTTATATTGTTTTTCAGTGTGTGTTTGCATTGACGTAATTAGTTTCAATTTTTTCTTTCTTTTTTTCTTGATTTTGTTCTTTATATTATTTTTGCTTTTAAAATTAAATATAATAAGAAAAGGTTGATCGTATTTGTATTGCATGTAAACTATGTAACTGGTAAAGTAATAATAAATACTAAATTTTACCATTATTATTTTCTGTCGAATCGGAACAAATAAACCTATTTCGCAATATTCTTTCAAATATTAGTTGCGATATAAGAGAGTTTTAATAACCTTTTATTAAATGTATTAATTAATTTTAATATTACTAATAATAATTTAGCATTATTTTATTAAAATTATTTAAAATCTTGTGGGACAAGAAACAAAATTGATTAATCCGCCATATCACTAACTATGTAACGTTAAGCGCTGAATTTCATGATGAAATCACCATAAGCTTATTTGAATTTTTGCCAAAAAATATTTATAGAATAAAAAATCTATAATACTAGTAATACTAGATTTTAAAACACATGTCGCTCCCACTTCGTGTATAGTGAACAATCAACATTCTTTGTATATCATTACTATTTTCTTAATTATATCGCCATCGGAATAATAACTAAAAATGGTAGAAAATATTTAATTATAAATAGGGTGCTTTGTTTTTGATAGAATATTAAACCGGTTAAAAAGTTTGTCAACAAACCATAATAAATTTTTTTCTAAAAAAAATATGGATATTCGTGCAGTAGTTGCGATAGGTAAGAAAATTATAAATAACCTTTTATTAAATAAATAAAACTGTAAAAATACTAACAATAAACCAACTATTTATCTTTACAAATAGATTTTGGTACCACATTTTCGGTAAGTTAATCATAAAAATCCGGTTTCAATTTTATAAATAACTAATTTTTATTGCGAAAATAATAGGGATTCAATTGCATATTCTAATCGAGCAGATCCTGAAATTATGTTTGGCCTCAACAAATTGGTGTATTGACAACTAATACAGTTCTTCAATATGATTACAACTATCAGAATGTTATTAAATGGGGAAATCCTGCTTTGGCCCAAAGACAATCCGTAAAAGTAAAGATTCATCATCTTCAAAAACTGTGGAACTTATTAAACTTCATTTAGGAAATATTCCATAAAATGAAAAACCTCCACTTCCTCGTTAATTAAGTTATGAAAAAGCAATAAGTGATTATTTACGCGAATTAGGTAAAACAAATTAAACTTATAAATTACGTAATTAATAATTTTGATTCTTATTTGTAACATGATAAACCATTTATTATGTACTGTAGGAATGTAGGAAAGGTATGTACATTAATTTTTTTTTTTTTAAAAAAAAAATTCAAAATAGTTAGGTATTTATAATTTATTTTAATAGTTGGTTAAGGAAACTATTTCTACTCGATGGCAAGGGATAAAATTCTTTGAGCATGTTCTTCTTGTTATAAGCATTCCAGCAAAGTTTGATGATCGTGCAAAAGATACTATGAGAAAATGTTTTCATAATGCTGGACTGACGAACAGTAAAGAATCAAATAAGTGGGAAAAGAGGAAGTAGGATACCTAATTAAGTGTTTGCATTTGGTATGATTTGATTATTTTTTTTTTCTTGTTTTTTGTTCCTCTTGTTCTTCTTTTACTTTTATTTTAATTAAATATTAATAAAAAAGATGCTTGGTAAAATTTTTGTATTTGTATTGCATGTTAGCCATGTAACTGATAAATAAAATGAAAAATACTTCAATTAATTTACGTTTTTTTTTTTTAATATTATTTAATTTTACTAATTTCGCATAATAACAATCAATACGCACGAATTTAATAGAAATAACGCCGTTCTAAAATATACGATTTTAAATACAAAGCTTTTTGGAAGATTTATCAACTTCAAAATCTGTAGAACTTTTAAACTTCATTTAGAAATTCCTCAAAATGAAAAACCTCCACTTCCTTATCAGTTAAGTTATGAAAAGACAATAAGTGATTATTTACGCGAATTAGGCAAATGAATTAAAATTTACAAATTACGTAAAAGATTTTCTTATTTTATGATACAATTGTTTATTTATGAATTTAGCTAGGAAAGGTAAAAATTACGCCGTAAAATTTATTTTTTCCTAAATTTTTCAAATATGTTTAACATGTTTTAATTTTATCTTAATAGTTGATTAAGGAAACTATTTCTATGGGATAAAATTCTTTGAATATGTTCTTCTCGTCATAAGCGTTCCGGCAGAGTTCGAAAGATATTATGAGAAAATGTCTTTTAATGCTGGATTGACGGACAGTAAAGAATCGAAGAAAGTTGAATTTACAACTGAGCGTAAATCAAAGATAAAATTCTATTATTTTTTTCCATCTTATCTAATATATTACTTATAATACTTAGCCGAAGCCGCTGCAGTTTATTGCATGCGAAACCTTAAAAACCTTAAAGGACAAAATGAAATTATCCCAGTTAATGGTTAGTTCTTTAATATCTAATGCGAAGAAAGACACTTTGTTGAATTATCTATTTATCTTTAGCGCCATTTATGATTGTTGATTGTAGAGGTGGAACTGTAGACCTTACGACACGTAGATTATTACGAAATAAAAAAGTTAAAGTTAGTGGAATCACTGAACTGAAAATTTTTGTGATGGATCTTATGTCGATAGAGAGTTAAAAAGAATTATGTTAAAAAATACAAAAATCATGAAAATCATGAAAAATTATAATAAAAAACGACTTTCACCACGTGCTCAACGCATAGTGTGCGTTTTCTCAAAAACTATGGTCATTATACTAATTAAAATTGCTCCCCTCGAAAATGATTAATTATTTTTTATATTGCAAATAATGTTAAAATAAAAAAAAAATTGAAAAACTTATAAGAATATATGCTGCAGTATCAAATACTGCGAAGTGGAATATAATTATTATATTAATAGAATCAGCTTAGCTAATCTACTAATAATATAGAATAAAAAAATCAAAAATAAATAAATAATGGTTCCAGTGTTCCACATGGAACCGATCTAACTAAAAATTTCATGATGTTGTTGCATTATCGTCACGTGTCGCACGAAAATACAAATATTATTCCACATCGAACAAATCGGGATGAATAGACCTTTTCTCCGGAAACACTGTTATAAATAGGAAGCTTTTTGAATATTTCTGATGTAAACAGGTTTGTTAACAAACCGCAGTAAAATTTTTTGAAAAAAAAAAAATGGATATTCGTGCAGTAGTTGCAATAGGTAAAAAAGTTATATATAAATAACCTTTTATCAAAATATATAAAATTGTAAAAATCCTAACAATAAATTAACCGTTTATCTTTACAAATAGATTTTGGCACCACATTTTCGGTAAGTTAATCATAAAAATCCGGTTTCAATTTTATAAATAACTGATTTTTGTTGCGAAAATAATAACGATTGTTAGGGATTCGCATATGCTAATCGAGCAGATCCTGAAATTATTACAAATGATGTTTGGCCTCAACAAATTGGTTCATTGAAAACTAATACAGTTCTTCAATATGATTCTAATTACCAAAATGTTATTAAATGGGGAAATCCTGCTTTGGCCCAAAGACAATCTCGTAAAAGTAAAGATTTATTAACTTCAAAATCTGTAGAACTTTTTAAACTTCATTTAGGAAATATTCCTCAAAATGAAAAACCTCCGCTTCCTCATCAATTAAATTATGAAAAAGCAATAGGCGATTATTTACGCGAATTAGGTAAAACAAATTAAATTTACAAATTATGTAATTAAATGCCATTTTTAATTCTTACTTAAAAATTATTATTTATTATATTAGGAAAGGTATATATGTAAATAAATAATAAACAAACAGATAAGATAATTCAGAATAATTAACTTTTTAATTTTATTTAAATAGTTGATTAAGGAAACTATTTCTACTCGATGGCATGGAATAATATTCTTTAAACATGTTCTTCTTGTTATAAGTATTCCGGCAGAGTTCGATGATCGTGCAAAAGATACTATGAGACAATGCCTTTATGATGCTGGATTGACAGATAGTAAAGAATCAAATAAAGTTGAATTTACATCTGAACGTAAGTCAAGGATATAATTATTTTTTTTTTAAGGACATTCACACTATTTTTATCTAATAATTAGTACTTTAACACTTAGCTGAAGCTGCTGCAATTTATTGCATGCGAAACCTTAAAGGCCAGAATGGAATGATCCCAATTAATGGTTAGCACTTATTTAACACTTAATGTGAAAGAAAGTTAGTACTTTTATTGACATTATCTATTTACATTTAGCGTCATTTATGGTTGTTGATTGTGGAGGTGGAACTGTAGACCTTACAACACGTAGATTATTACGAGATAACAAACTTAGTGAAATTACTGAACGAACTGGAGATTTTTGTGGTGGATCTTATGTCGACAGAGAATTCCTTAAATTCCTTGGTCGTAAACTTAGTGAATCGACTATAAATCTGTTTAGAGAAAATAATTATGGTCAAATGCAATACATGATACAGCAATTCTGCCAAAAAGTGAAATTTCATTTTACCGGAAATAGAAATGATTTTAATGCTTTTGAATTTGATATTGAAGAAATTTGTCCCATTTTAAAACAATATTGCAAAGATGAAATTAAAGAAAAAATGGAAGATAATGATTGGATTATTGACATAAATTTCGAAGATTTAAAATCTATGTTTGATCCAGTTGTTGGAAAGATTATTAGATTAATTCGTGGGCAACTTAATTCTAGTAAAGATAGATGTTCTGCTATATTCCTTGTTGGAGGATTTAGTGAGTCAAAATATTTACAAATAAGAGTTAAAGAAGAATTCGGAAAATTGGTTCCATCAATTATTGTGCCAAAACAACCTATCGCAGCTATTGTCCGTGGAGCTTGTGACTATGGACTCACAACGAGTACAATAGTGGATCGTACTTTGAAATATACTTACGGGATTCGAATAGGTAGAATTTGGAAAGAAGGGGATCCGCCAAGTCAAAAAATGCCAGATCTTTATGATCACACTTTTACATTTGATAGATTAGTTATGCGTGGTACAAGAGTAGGAGTTAATCAGGAATTTTCCAAGACTTATACACCTTCTAAGCCGGATTACACTGGTCTTTCATTCAAAATATATAAAACAACTGAATTAAGTGCTGAATTTTGTAATGAACCTGGAATGAAATTACATGGTACATTAAACATAGACTTACCAGATGTTCATCTCGGAGAAGATCGCGAAGTTGAATTTTCGTTAATTTTTGGAAAAATGGAACTTGTTGCTAAAGCAAAAAATTTACGAAATGGAAGCATATATAACACTTCTTTTGATTTAGATTTATAATTCATTGTAAGGTAGGTTATATTTTATGCAATATTTCAACATTCGCTTTTCAATTTCAATATTGTGATTATTAAATAGGCCACAAAGATAAACTACAAATAGTATTCATTTTAATATATATTAAGTGAAACTTTTTTTTGCAAAAAAGCAATAATGACAATTGCACTGGTGGACATTTGGTGTAATTAGTAATTAGTTTTATTTTTTATTTCTTGTTTTTTTTTATTATATTCTTTTATTATAAACAATAAAAAAATTGGCAAAATTTTTGTATTTGTATTGTATGTAAACTATGTAACTGATAAAATAAAATACGTATTTTTTTAATAATAATATACTAAATTTCCGATGCTGATTTGGTATAATAGCTATATTCTGCTGCACCGGAATGAATAAACCCTCTTCCGGAAAATGTACTCATCAGTTTATCAATTGAAGTGCTTGGATTAAATCGTAATTTGAATTTTCGCAAAAAATTTTACAGAATAGAAAAATTTATATTAATGTAGGATTTATTTATACAATTTTATCATAGAATATTATTGCAGAATCTTCGCATGTCGTACAAAAATAAAACATTTGAATATTATATTCCACATCAGAACAAATTAATTTTTTCTTCGAAAAATGTAATACTGTCATTACTATTTTTCTTTAATATTATTATGTCGTATCGGACTAAAAATCCTTTCTCCGGGAAAATACTAAATTGGCTATAAATAGGAAGCTTGGTGGAATATTTTGGTGTACCGGTTAAATAGTTTTATCGCTTTAATAATAAACAGCAGTATTTAAATTTTTTTTTTTAAAAAAAAAAATGAATATTCGCGTAGTAGTTGCAATAGGTAAAAAAGTTATAAATAAACTTTTAAAATTGTAACAATACTAAAAATAAGTTAATCGTTTATTTTTTACAATTAAACTTTGAAACTGCTAGTTAATCATAATAATCCGAGTCTAAAAAATTTAATTTTATGAATAATTAAATTGTTATGAAAATAATAATGTCAGGGATTCGCATATTCTAATCGAAATAATCCCGAAATTATTACAAATGTTGTTTGTAGTGCTTCGATCCGGATGGGATCGATCCGCGGTTTACTACGGGTTGGCATCGGTTTATTTGAATTGGAGCTATAAGTTTGGCCAAAATTAATAAAATTTGTGGAAGAATAATTTTTTTAAATCCGACAAAAATTATAGTTTGACAAAAATAATAGAAAAATGTTGTGATGCTAATCAACGGATCAATCCGGATCGAAGCACTAGATGTTTGACCTCAACTAATTGGTTCATTGAAAACTAATACAGTTATTTAATGGGGAAATCCTGCATTAGCCAAAGGCAAGTAAAGATTCATCATCAAAATCTGTAGAACGTTTTAAACTTCATTTAGGAAACATTTCTCGAACTGAAAATCATCGTAATCAAATGCAATTTCTGAATTCTAAGTATTATAAATCTTGGTAAGGTAATAATAAAATGTCCTGTAAAAGTTAATTCTTTTTTTCTTTAAAAAAAATGATAATAATTGTAATCCTTTAATGTAGTGGAATTCTTATAAAAAAATTTTCCAATTTTTTCAAAAATGGCTCAGTATTCTGTAAACAAACTTTCTCTATTGCTAGTTCAACTATTTCCAAGGTATGAAATCGTTTAAATTCAGAAACAGTTTATGCTTTATTATGCTTAAAAATCTGAATTACTAAAAAAATTGGCAAAGATAATAATAAGAATGAGAAAAAATCATATAAAATTTTTTATTTAAATAGTTAATTAAGAAAACGGTTACTACTCGTTGGCATGGTATAAGATTCTTTGAACATGTTCTTCTCGTTATAAGCGTTGAATCAAATAAAATTGATTTACAACTGAAACGTAAGTAAATGATAAAATTCTCTCTTTTTTATAAACGTATTATTCAATCTAATTGATAATTTATGTATTACTTTAGCTGAAGCTGCTGCAATTTATTGCATGCAGAACCCAAATGAACATAATAATGGAATTATTCCGATAAATGGTTGGTATTTGTTTTTGAGTAGCGTCATTTATGGTGGTAGATTGTGGAGGTGGAACCGTTGACCTTACAGCACGTAAGATAACAAGCTTAGTGAGATTACTGAACGAACTGGAGATTTTTGTGGTGGATATGTTGACCAAGAATTTCTTAAATTCCTTAATCTTTAGTCGTATACTTGATGAATCAACTATAAATCTGCTTAGAGAAAATAATTATGGTCAAATGCAATACATGATACAGCAATTCTGTCAAAGAGTGAAATTTGAAATATAAATGATTCTGATTGATATTGAAGAAATTTGTCCTGTTTTAAAACAGTATTGTAAAGATGATATTAAAGAAAAAATGATTGTATTATTGACAAATTTTGAAAATCTAAAATTTATGTTTGATCTAGTTGTTGGAAAGATTATTAGATTAATTCGTGGACAACTTAATTCTAGTAAGGATAAATGTTCTGCTATATTCCTTGTCGGAGGATTTGGTGAACCAAAATATTTACAAATGAAAGAATTCGGAAAATTAGTTCCAGCAATTATTGTGCCAAAGCAACCTATCGCAGCTATTGTTCGTGGAGCTTGTGACTACGGACTTAAAATGAGCACAATAGCGGATCGTACTCTGAAATATACTTACGGTATTAAAGCTAATAGACACTGGAGTTATCCAATAGATCGAAAAATAACCTGTGGGAATGGTGATCAAAATTGAGGTATTTTGATAGCCTAGGTACAAAAGTAGGAGTAGATCAGAAATTTTCTAGGATTTATCATCCTCCTGAACCAAATGTCACTTTTCTTACGATTCATATTTTTAAAACAACTGAATTGAGTGCTAAATTTTGTGATGAACCTGGCATGAAATTACTTGGTGTATTAATCGTAGATTTACCAGATGTAAATCTCGGATTTAAGTCGTAGAATTGAATTTTCGTTAATGTTTGGAAAAATGGAAATTGTCGCTAGCAATAGTTTGAATTAGATTATTAGCTAGATTAAATAATGTAGACCTTTCATTATTTATTACAAATAGAGTCAAATTTTAAAAGTTTCGCAAGAAATAAAATATAAATGCTATTATTAAGTAAAATAGTTTTTAAAATAATGTCGTTGTTGCATATCGAAAAATTAATATTATGTCAACAACGATAGTTCCCAAATTTATTTATCCACTTTTAAAACATAGTATAATGATATAGATTCTTGATAAAAATATGGTTGACACGCTTTATATTGGAATAGCATTTATTAGTTTAATTCATGATTTCCCTATATAATAATATTCTGGTAATTTAAACCAATTTGTTTAGGGCAACTATAATATTCGAGATAAAACAGTTGGTGTGTTACACCAGAACCTTTTTTTTTCAGGAAAAGTTGTATTTACAAATCACAACTGCCGTTTTTTTTGTTTTAGATAGGCGAATATTAAAAGTTTATTTTATTAGATACTAATATTTTACATTTTGCAATAATGCTACATTATATTGTAACCATACTGGTCTTTAAGAAAAAAGAGTATGGTAGTATGAAATAGTTATTAAAAAGTTCAAATTCACCATTAGCTTTTCGCTTGTAAGATATACGGGCGTTTACTATTTGATGAGTACTAAGTATTCGGCACAAGTGATTCGTGACTGCGGCACTATGATTGTGCCTCACATTAAATAGTTATTTTTTATTAAGAAAGGGTAAAAAAAGTTATTTTTTATTAAAAAAAAAAATGTACGTGGTTTTACCAAATTTTAGAAATCGCACCGAATTGACCGAAACGAATAAACCTTTTATTCCGGAAAATGTACTAAAAATGTTTTGACACAGACATATATACAGTTATCGTTCAGCCCAATAGGATCATGCATATTTTCATAGACCGATATTTTTATTAGCCATAGCAATAACGCATGATTGATATAATAAAGTGGAGTAAAAAAATGGCGTAAATGAATATTTTGTAGGAAAAGTTTAAATAAAGCTTATAAAGTGGATTAAAAATGATTAATTAATGCATGATCAAAAACGTCATAACGATCACACTTATTTGATGTGGGGCTATATCGGTCACAGGGACCTTCATTGATTGGTGAAAATGGCCACTACGTACTCCCCCATCCAATAATATGTATTTATAAATAGGAAGCATTGATTTTTATTAAAACCGATTAAGAAGTTTCTCTGAACAACAAGCCGCAGTATTCTTTCCGCGCAGTAGTTGTAATAACCTTTTATTAAAATATCATTGTAATAATGCGAACAATCCGTTTATTTATAATAGGTTCTTTTAGTCGTGAAACAAGATGGTGAAAATTTTCAGAAATCATCACATGTCTAACAGTACTGAATTTTATGATGAACCTGTTATGATATCACTTGGTACATTAACTATAGACTTACCAAATGCTCATCTTGGATTAAATCGTGATGTTGAATTTTCGCTAAATTAAACGAATAGAAAGAATATATGATACTGGTTTTGAATTAGATTTTAAGATTCACGAGAATTTATCATTTATAATTTAGCTATAGAAATGTTATTGCAATATCGTCACGTATCCGGAATAAACTTAAAAATGTATGTTAATTTATGGATAGTTTGACGTAGTAACAATCAATCATTATGTACTAAAAATGGTTGAGAGTATATAATTATAATATTTTTTCATCAGTATTCAAATTTTTTTAAAAAAATGGATATTCGTGCAGTAGTTGCAATAGGTAAGAATTACAAATAACCTTTTGTTAAAATGTTAAAATATATAAATACTAACAATGAATTAACCGTTTATTTTACAAATAGATTTTGGTACCACATTTTTCGGTAAGTTAATCATAAATAATTAATTTTTATTGCGAAAATAATAGGGATTCGCATATGCTAATCGAGCAGATCCTGAAATTATTACAAATGATGTTTTGCCTGTGCAATAAAAACTAATACAGTTCTTCAATATGATTCTAATTATCAAAATGTCATTAAATGGGGAAATTCTGCTTTATCCCAAAAACAATCAAAACACGATCGTAAAAATAAAGATTTATCATCTTCAAAAACTGTAGAACTTTTTAAACTTTATTTAGGAAATATTCCACAAAATGAAAAACCACTACTTCCCTATCAATTAAATTATGAAAAAGCAATAAGTGATTATTTACGCGAATTAGGTAAAACAAATTAAATTTACAAATTATGCAATTTAACAATGCAATTATTAAAACTTACTATAGCATGATAAAACTTACATATAATTAATTTTTTTTTTTTTAAAAAAAAAGAATAATTAGGTCGGTTTAATTTTATTTTAAATAGTTGATTAAGGAAACTATTTCTACCTGATGGAACGGGATAAGTTTCTTTGAACATGTTCTCCTCGTTATAAGCATTCCAGCAGAGTTCGAAGATCGTGCAAGATATACTATGAGAAAATGTCTTTATAATGCTGGGTTGACGGACTGTAAAGAATCAAAGAAAGTTGAATTTACAACTGAACGTACTGTAAATTAAAGGCAAAATTCTTTTGTTTTTTAGCATTTATTTCATTTATTTATTATATTATTTGTAATATTTAGCTGAAGCTGCTGCAATTTATTGTATGCGGAACTTAAGGGACAGAATGAAATGATCCCAATTAATGGTTTGTGGTTTTATTTTAAAAATTATTGTGGAAGAAGGATACTTCATTAACACTATCTACTTATTCATTTTTAGCGTCATTTATGATTGTTGATTGGGAGGTGGAACTGTAGACCTTACAACACGTAGATTATTAAGAGATAACAAACTCAGTGAAATCATCGAAAGAACTGGAGATTTTTGTGGCGGATCTTATGTCGATCGAGAATTTCTTAAATTCCTTAGTCGTAAGCTTGGTGAATCGACTATAAATCTGCTTAGAGAGAATAATTATGGTCAAATGCAATACATGATACAACAATTCTGTCAAAAATTGAAATTTTGTTTTACAGGAAATCAAAAATGAATTTGATCCATTTGAATTTGAAATTGAAGAAATTTGTCCTCTTATGATTGTAATGATAATATGATTGGGTTATTGATATAAATTTTGAAGATTTAAATCTATGTTTGATCCAGTTGTTGGAAAAATTATTAGATTAATTCGTGAACAACTTGATTCTAGCAAAGATACAGTAAATGCTCTGCTATACTTCTTGTAGGAGAATTTAGCGAATCAAAATACTTACAAATGAGAGTTAAAGAAGAATTCGGAAAATTGGTTTCATCAATTATTATACCAAAGCAACCTATCGCAGCTATTGTTCGTGGTGCTTGTGACTATACAGTCAAACCTTTATATAACGATATGTCGGAACATACAGTATATGAAATTTTCAGAAAATATCGTTATATCAAAGTTATACCGATATTTATATGTCCTCACATATAGTAGGAAAATAAAATTTTATCGGTATAACAAGTTTTTAATAGTATATCGGTATATCGAGGTTAGACTGTAGACTCAAAACGAGCACAATAGTGGATCGTACTTTGAAGTATACTTATGGATTAAAACTCATAGATATTGAGTAGACGGAGACCCGATAGACAGAAAAAAAATTTTAAGGGAAATGATAAAACTAAAATTACGAAATTTCATCGTTTCGTTACACGAGGTACAAAAGTTGGAATTGATGAGGAATTTCATATAGTTAGATATCCTCTTGAGCCGGGATGTCATTCGAGATATATAACAACTGAATCGAGCGCTGAATTTTGTGACGAACTTGGTATGAAACTACTTGGTACGTTAAGTATAGAATTACCAGATGTTCATCTTGGATTAGATCGTAAAGTTGAATTTTCGCTAATTTTTGGAAAATTGTACCTTGTTGCTAAAGCAAAAAATTTACGGTATAGAAGAATCTATGATACTAGTTTTGAATTAGATTTTTAATAATTAATGTAGATTACCTATTTCATTTCGAATTTTAAAGTGTCGCACGAAATAAAAATAAAGGCTTTTATAGTAGTTATAATATCATTGCGTAACGTATGCGCTAATGAAATTTTATACTATTCGACTTCTGTGATACTTCTTCATTTGGCACTCGCGTAACTAAAATTATTATTTTAATTCAATATATTAAATATAATAAAATTTACTAGAACGTCTAATCATTCTTTCACTTGGATATTGATCGATATACGGTTAAACAACTGAATTTAGTTTTAAATAGGAAGCGTTTTTTCAAAGTGAACATGTATTCTTTTACTAAAAAATGGGTACTCGTGTAGTAGTTGCTATAGGTAAGAATTAATAAAGTTTTAATTACTTTATTGAAATGAAACGTTACTTAATTCGTTGGTTTTATTGTTAGATTTGGAACCACATTTCCTGTAATTAATTAATTATTTCGAGTCATTAATTTATTTAATTTATTTAATGAAATAATTGAATTTATTGCGAAAAATAATATCAATTATTAGAGTTTCGCACATGCTAATCTAGCAAGTCCCGAAATTATTACAATCGATACTTTGCCTCAACAAATTGGGTCAAATTATCAAAATGTTATGATTAAATGAGGAAATCCCGCTTTAGCGCAAAGACAATCTCGTAGAAATAAAGATTCATCACCAAAACCTGTAAAACTTTTTAAACTTCATTTAAAAAACATTTCTCAAAGTAAAAACCTCTACTTCTTCATCAATTTATGCGGATTAAATTAAACTCATAATTTTCGTAATGACGTAATCAAATGCAATTTCAGATCTACGGGAGAACCCGAAACATCTCTCATCTCTGTCAACTAAAAAATCACTTCGTATTGTATCTTAGTAAATATTAAAGTTAGAAAATAAAATCATTACCATTAGATTCCTCTCATTAAGACGAACTCAATGGTATAAATTTATTAAATTTGGATTATTAGTTAGCTAAAAAACAGTGGTATGTAGTTTAAAATTTTTGAAAAATATTCCTGAAATAAGCAATTTTTTGAATATTTTCTCGCAGTGCAGTGCGGCATGTTGTATTTCCGGACATTTACAGATATTTCCATATATTATCTGGTTATTTTTCGGTGTTTTTTTTTTTGTTTTTGTCCAAAAAATATATTGAAATGTCCGGAAAAGATAACATGCACTGTAATGACTGAATAATAATTTTAAAAACTGTATATTCGTTTTTTTGGTAGTTTGATGTAACAAGCAATCATTACTATTTAATATTATATCACATCGGGATAAATAAACCTTTTCTCCGGAAAATGTACTAAAATGGTTGATAGTAAATAATTATAAATAGGAAGCTTTTTGAAATATTTTTGATGTAAATTAGTTAAAAAATTCTATCAAACAACCGCAGTATTTATTTATGATTTTTTTTTTTTTACAAAAAAAAAATGGATATTCGTGCAGTAATTGCAATAGGTAAGAAAGTTATATATAGCCCTATAAAAAAAGAAAATTCGGAATTTGTCCTGAAAAGTATGGAAAATGTCCGGAAATTTTCCGTGCGTCCGGAAAACATTCGGAAACGGTCATGTTTTGGAACATTTTCCGGACGCTCGATTCTGGACAAATTCTGGACAAATTCTGGAGTGTCAAGAAAATGTCTGGAATTTGTGCGTCCGGAAAGTGTTCCAAAACGTGACCGTTTCCGAATGTTTTCCGGACGCACGGAAATTTTCCGGACATTTTCCATACTTTTCAGGACAGATTCCGAATTTTCTTTTTTTATAGTGTAGTCTTTTAATAAAATATATAAATACTAACAATAAATTAACCGTTTATTTTACAAATAGATTTTGGTACTACATTTTCGGTAAGTTAATCATGAGATTCCGAATTTAATTTTATAAATAAATAATTTTTATTGCAAAATAATAACGATTGTTAGGGATTCGCATATTCTAATCGAGCAGATCCTGAAATTATTACAAATGATGTTTGGCCTCAACAAATTGGTGTAATGAAAACTAATACAGTTCTTCAATATGATTCTAATTATCAAAATGTTATTAAATGGGGAAATCCTGCTTTAGCCCAAAAACAATCAAAACACGCTCGTAAAAATAAAGATTTATCATCTTCAAAAACTGTAGAACTTTTTAAACTTCATTTGGGAAATATTCCACAAAATGAAAAACCACCACTTCCCTATCAATTAAATTATGAAAAAGCAATAAGTGATTATTTACGCGAATTAGGTAAAACAAATTAAATTTACAAATTATGTGATTTAAAAATGCAATTCTTAATTCATACTTATAGCATGTTAAAACTTATTATGTAGGAAAGGTACATATAATTAATTTTTTTTTAAAAAAAAAAAAAAAATTCAGAATAATTGGATCGTTTTAATTTTATTTAAATAGTTGATTAAGGAAACTATTTCTACCCGATGGCACGGGATAAGTTTCTTTGAACATGTTCTTCTCGTTATAAGCATTCCAGCAGAGTTCGATGATCGTGCAAGAAATACTATGAGAAAATGTCTTTATAATGCTGGGTTGACGGACTGTAAAGAATCAAAGAAAGTTGAATTCACGACTGAACGTACTGTAAATTAAAGGCAAAATTCTTTTGTTTTTAGCATTTATTTCATTTTATTTATTATATTATTTGTAATATTTAGCTGAAGCTGCTGCAATTTATTGCATGCGGAATCTTAAGGGACAGAATGAAATGATCCCAATTAATGGTTTGTGATTTTATTTTAAAATTAATGTATATACTGTACTTATATGTAAGAAGGATACTTACTTCATTAACATTATCTATTTATTTTTAGCGTCATTTATGGTTGTTGATTGTGGAGGCGGAACTGTAGACCTTACAACACGTAGATTATTACGAGATAACAAACTCAGTGAAATCACTGAAAGAACTGGAGATTTTTGTGGTGGATCTTATGTCGACCGAGAATTTCTTAAATTTCTTAGTCGTAAGCTTGGTGAATCGACTATAAATCTGCTTAGAGAAAATAATTATGGTCAAATGCAATTCATGATACAACAATTCTGTCAAAAATTGAAGTTTCATTTTACAGGAAATCAAAATGAATTTGATCCATATGAATTTGATATTGAAGAAATTTGTCCTATTTTGAAACAGTATTGTAATGATAATATCAAAGAAGAGATGGAAGAAAATGATTGGGTTATTGATATAAATTTTGAAGATTTAAAATCTATGTTCGATCCGGTTGTTGGAAGAATTATTAGATTAATTCGTGGACAACTTGATTCTAGCAAAGATAAATGCTCTACTATATTTCTTGTAGGAGGATTTAGTGAATCAAAATATTTACGAATGAGAGTTAAAGAAGAATTCGGAAAATTAGTTTCAGCAATTATTGTACCAAAGCAACCTATCGCAGCTATTGTTCGTGGCGCTTGTGATTATGGACTCGATATGAGTACAATAGTGGAACGTACTTTGAAATATACTTATGGACTTGGAACTCATAGAAATTGGGAAGACGAAGATCCAATATATAGAAAAAAAAATTTTAAGGGAAATGATGAAACTAAAATTGCGATATTTCACCATTTCGTTACACGAGGTACAAAAGTTGGAGTTGATGAGGAATTTCGTACAATTACACGTCCTGCTATGCCAGATCAGACTGCAATGTCATTTCCAATATATAAAACAACTGAATTAAGTGCTGAATTTTGTGACGAACCTGGTATGAAATTACTCGGTACATTAAGAATAGAATTACCAGATGTTCATCTTGGATTAGATCTTGATGTTGAATTTTCGCTAATTTTTGGAAAATTGGAACTTGTTGCTAAAGCAAAAAATTTACAGAATGGAAGAACCTATGATACTAGTTTTGAATTAGATTTTAAAAATTGATGTAGATCTTATTATTGTTCGTTTCGAATCCTATGAAATAGAATAAAGGTTTTATTTAAATACATAACCTTAATATCGTTTAATATCATGGCGCAACATATGTGCAAATGAAATTTATACTATTAAAGACTTCTTGGATGATAAACACTAATTTCATTTGATACCCGCGTAACAGTTTGAGATAAAATTATTGGTCCGTTAAAGTTATAATTAGTTTTGTAATAATTATCCAGGGATTTACATATACTACGTTAGCGTACCAAAATGAAAAATCGAATTCGAAAAATCACTTACACAGTTATTTATTACACTATCATGGAAATGTACTTATAGAATTTAAGTAACAGATAGACTACCAAATAAGTTCACAACTGCGCAAGTTATACGTGGTACAAATGAAAATAGTTAATAGAAATTACCAGCACGTCTAAGTCGTCTAATCGTCTTTCATTTGAATATTGATATAACCGAATTGTTATTACTTGGTACAATAATCGTGTATTTACTTCACATTTTTTTATGGCTATCGCGTGAAAATAGATAAATGCAGCCAATTGTGAAAATTTAAACCCCTTGCTTTTCAGTTCATTCAATCTCTAATTTCTGCTTTTGTGCAAATCATTTTCATATATACATCGTTGTATCACTAAAATGCGTGGTGTAATAAAGTAATAAAACAAGTTTTTTGAACCTTATTTTGGTTATAAATAGGATGCGTTTTTTCCTTGAAAAAGAACACGCAGTATTCTTTTACTAAAAAATGGGTACACGTGTAGTGGTTGCTATAGGTAAGAATTGAGAAAGTTTTAATATCTTTTATTAAAATGAACATTATTTAATTCATTAATTTTATTATTAGATTTTGGAACCACGTTTTCTGTAATTTATTTATTTATTCAATAAAACAATTAAATTTTATTGCGAATATAAATAATATAAATAATATCAATTATTAGGGATTCGCTCATTCGCATATGCTAACCGAGCAAGTCCCAAAATTATCACAAATGATGTTTGGCCTCAACAAATTGGGTCATTGAAAACTAATACAGTTCTTCAATATGATTCCAATTATCAAAATGTTATTAAATGGGGAAATCCTGCTTTGGCCCAAAAGCAAACTCGTAAAACTAAAAATTTATCCGTTTCAAAATCTGTAGAACTTTTTAAACTTCATTTAGGAAATCTTCCTCAAAATGAAAAACCCCCGCTTCCTCATCAATTAAGTTGTGAAAAAGCAATAAGTGATTATTTACGTGAATCAGGTAAAACCAATTTAAATACGTAATTTCCTATTTTATTCTATAATTAATTTATTATTTTGTAAATCTAGGAAAGGTATAAAATTACTTCATAAAAATTATTTTTTTTCAAATAGTTTTTATTTTAATTATTTTTTAAATAGTTGATAAAAGAAACTATTTCTACTCGATGGCATGGTTTAAAATTCTTTGAACACGTTCTTCTTGTTATAAGTATTCCCACAGAGTTTGATGATCGTGCAAAAGATACTATGAGAAAGTGTCTTTATAATGCTGGATTGACGAACAGTAAAGAATCAAATAAAATTGAATTTACAACTGAACGTAAGTAAAAATAAAATTCTTTTCTTTTTTTTAAGAGTATTTATTTCATTTTTATTTATTATGTTATTTGTAATATTTAGCTGAAGCTGCTGCAATTTATTGCATGCGAAATCTTGAAGAACAAAATAAACAAAATAAACAAAATAAAAGATTGGTCCCAGTTAATTGTTTGTATTTTACTTTACAATTTAATATGAAAGAAGTAAACTTTTGTTAACAAAATCTCTGTTTATAAATAGCATCATTCATGGTGGTTGATTGTGGAGGTGGAACTGTTGATCTTACAACACGTAAATTATTAAGAGATAACAAACTTAGTGAAATTACTGAACGAACTGGAGATTTTTGTGGTGGATCTTATGTTGATCGAGAATTTATTAAATTTCTTAGTCGTAAACTTGGTCGAGCGACCATAAACCTGCTTACAGAAAATAATTATGGTCAATTGCAATATATGATACAGCAATTCTGTTCAAAATTAAAATTCCATTTTACGGGCAATCCAGTTGGTTTTGAACCTTTTGAATTTGATATTGAAGAAATATGTCCCATTTTGAAACAATATTGTAATGATGAAATTAAAGAAAAAATGGAAGACGACGATTGGATTATTTACATAGAATTTGAAGATCTAAAATCTATGTTTGATCCAGCTATTGGAAAAATTATTAGACTAATTCGTGGACAGCTTAGTTCTAGTAATGAAGTATGCAACGCTATATTCCTTGTGGGAGGATTTAGCGAATCAAAATATTTACAAATGAGAGTTAAAGAAGAATTCGGACCACCAATTATTGTGCCAAGGCAACCTATCGCGGCTGTTGTTCGTGGGGCTTGCGACTATGGACTTAAAATGAGTACGATAGTAGATCGTACTTTGAAATATACTTATGGAATTAAAGTAGCTAGATACCGGAGAGCAGGAGATCCAAAAAGTCAAATAGTACCAGAAGCTCAATATTTGACTTATGAGTTTGATAGGTTAGTAACGCGTGGTACAAAAGTAGGAGTTGATGAGAAATTTTCCGATACTTATATTCCTCCTGATCCAAAACAAAAATCTATTTCATTTCCAATATATACAACAACTGAATTAAATGCCAAATTTTGTAATGAACCTGGTATGAGATATCATGGTGAATTACAAATAAAATTACCAGATGTTCATCTTGGAAAAAGCCGTAAAATTGAATTTTCGTTAATTTTTGGAAAACTGGAACTTGTTGCTAAAGCAAGAAATGTTAATACTGGAAAAAGCTATGAAACTATATTCGAATTAGATTTTTAATTTAATACATAGCATCATGAATTTTTATTTGTGTCACATGAAAATAAAATTAATGATTTACTATATGGTAAAAATGAAAGCGACGAATACTCTTTAATAGTGACATACAATCTAATCGGAATGTCTGATCAATATTATTATTTGGACGAGCTGTCCTAAAGTTCCATTTTAAATTCTGTATGCAGCAAGAGTATAACTTCAATTTTTATGAGTTAACACTCGCTAAACTAAGTGATAAAATAAAAAACGTACTAATTGTACAGCTATTATATAACCTTTCAATTTTAAATATCCTAAACGGATTCTTTATCAGTTTAAATCACGTGACTAAAAAAAAAAGATAAAATTGGTTGTTAATACAACGTGGTTCATTTTTTACTTTTTTTAGACGGCTGGTCGTAATGTGCTTGATCATGATATCTGATATATTAACTGTACATATAAATAACGATCTTTTGAAAGATTTATTCCTCACTTTCTATATACTTTTTGTATAGACTTTTAGGGTTTCTAATCTAGGCGTAATTTTAGGCAATCCAATTCGTTAGTTAGCATACGCAGAAATTCCTAAATTCTAAACTCTTCAACTCTATTTTTAACACGCGTTTCTTAATCTAATAAATTATTTTTATTAATTATCTACGTAATAAAAGGGATACGCTCTATAAATATCAAAATTTTTACTTAGCTTATTGGGTTGAAAGTGAGATGTTTTAAAAAACACGATTTTAAGTGTTATAGAATTTATTTTCACATAAATGTGTATCAAAAAATATACGAGCATATAATCCTTACATACGCGCAAGTTCTTTGGTTTAATCCGATCATCGTCTTGTAAATGAACTTTTAATCTTGAATCGTACGGTATATTGCATTTTCTTAAAGTTTAAAGGACAATAAATTTATTTTTATAAGCATTTATTTAATAAAAAAGGGTTTACATTGGTTTCTAAAATCTAATTCAAAACTAGAATTATGAAACTTCTATTTCGCAAATTTCTTGCTTTAGCAACTATTTCCGTTTTTCCAAAATTTAACTTTACGATAAATCCGAGATGAGCATAATTCATCAGGTTCATCACAAAATTTAGCATTTAATTCAATTGTTTATTCTCAAATGAAAGATGAGTTGTACTTGGTTCAGAAGGTATATAAGCCATAGAAAACATATCGACTTCCGATAATTAGTGCGACTAATTTTCCGATTCTTCTCTAACCCATATTTTGATTCATTAAACCCTCTGACAAGGAATATAGCAAAACATATCAATTATCCTTGCTAGAACCAAGTTGCTCAACGAATTAATCTAATGATTTCCAATAGTTGGATCAAACATAGACTTTAAATCTTCGAAATTTATATCAATAATCCAATCTTTTTCTTTCATCTTTATTTTTAATATCATCTTTACAATGAACGGGGCAAATTTATTCAATATCAAATTCGAATTTGAAAAGTTCAAAAACAATTGAAATTTTTGTAAAATGAAATTTTAATTTTTTGACATAAATGTATCATGTTTCTCTAAGCAGATTTATGGTCGATTGACTAAATTTATGCTAAAAAATTTAATAAATTCTCAATTTTCTGTCGACGTAAGATCCATCCCAGTTTATTATGTTTTAATGATTTTTAAGGTCAAAAGTTCCACTTCCACAATCAACCACACTATTTACAAACAAAGATAATATAAACAAGATATTTTATTTCATGTTATATTTTAAAAGTAATCATGAACCATTGGAATTGGATTACATATTTATAATTTGGCCGCAGCAATAAGTGTCGTACGAAAATAAAATATATTTTCGTCTATCATTACTGTTTTATAATATTATGTTGCAACCGGAACGAACAAACTTTTCTCCGGAAAATGACTAAAATGGATGATTCAAAAATGAATTTTGCACAGTTATAAATAGGAAGCTTTTTCCAGAAAAAAGGATGAAGCAAAGAATTTGGTGTAACAATTGCCCAACTTTCAATGGATACACGTGTAGTAGTTGCTATAGGTAAAGATTTAAGAATTAAGAAATTTATTGACCTTTATTGAAACAAAAAATAAGTTATTATTAATAAAATAATTGTATCTTAATTTATGATCAGATTTTGGAACCACATTTTCAGTAAGTTAATTTGATTGTCATCAATTAATAATAATTTACTCTTGTATGTAATTATAATATTAATTAATTGTTAGGGATTCGCATATTCTAATCAAAATAATCCTGAAATTATTACAAACGATATTTGGCCCCAACAAATTGGTTCATTGAAAACTAATACAGTTCTTCAGTATGATTCCAATTATCAAAATGTTATTAAATGGGGAAATCCTGCTTTAGCCAAAAAAATAAATCGTAGAAATAAAGATTCATCATCAAAATCTGTAGAACTTTTTAAACTTCACTTAGGAAATATTCCACAAAATGAAAAACCTCCACTCCCTCATCAACTAAGTTACGAAAAAGCAATAAGTGATTATTTGCACGAATTAGGTAAAAAAAAGTATAAATTTATAAATTTCGTAATCAAATGCAATTTCTGAGTAAACAAGATTAGTTATTTAAAACTCCCAATTTATATTATGAATCTAGGAAAGGTAATAATAAAATGTTCCGAAAAGTCGATTTTTTTTTTTAAAAAAAAAAAATTTCGTATAAAATTTTTTTATTCTAAATAGTTAATTAAGGAAACTGTTACTACTCGATGGGATGGATTAAGATTCTTTGAACATGTTCTTCTCGTTATAAGCGTTCCTGCAGAGTTTAATGATCATGCAAAAGATACTATGAGAAAATGCCTTTATAATGCTGGTTTGACGGACAGTAAAGAATCAAAGAAAGTTGAATTTACAACTGAACGTAAGTTAAAAATAACTTAATTCTTTCTTAAATTTATTTCGTTTTATTTATTTGAACATTTATGTATTAATTTGTGCTCTATTAGCTGAAGCTGCTGCAATTTATTGCATGCGGAACCTTAATGAACATGATAAAGGAATGATTCCAATTAATGGTTTGTATTTTACTTTTAAATTAATGTGTAAAACAATATATTTTATTAATATTATCTTTGATTGTGAATAGCGTCATTTATGGTGGTTGATTGTGGAGGTGGAACTGTTGACCTTACAATGCGTAAATTACTAAAGCATAATAAACTCAGTGAGATTACTGAACGAACTGGAGATTATTGTGGTGGATCTTATGTTGACCGAGAATTTCTTAAATTTCTTAGTCGTAAGCTTGGTCAATCGACTATTAATATGCTTAGAGAAAATAATTATAATCAAATGCAATATATGATACAACAATTCTGTCAGAAATTGAAATTTCACTTTACGGGGGATCCAGCTGGCTTTGAACCTTTCGAATTTGATATTGAAGACATTTGCCCTGTTTTAAAACAATATTGTAAAGATGATATCAAAGAAAAAATGGAAGAAAATGACTGGATTATTGATATAAATTTTGAAGATCTAAAATCTATGTTTGATCCTGTTATTGGAAAAATTATTAGATTAATTCGTGGGCAACTTAGTTCTAGTAAGAATAAATGCTCAGCTATGTTTCTTGTCGGAGGATTTAGTGAATCAAAGTATTTGCAAATGAGAGTTAAAGAAGAATTCAGAAAATTAGTTCCACCAATTATTGTTCCAAGACAACCTATCGCGGCTATTGTTCGTGGAGCTTGTGATTATGGACTCAAAATGAGCACAATAGTAGATCGCACTTTGAAATATACTTATGGTATTACAAGGCATAGAGATTGGAAAGTAGGAGATCCGACAGGCCCAAATTATCAAATAAAGAAAGAGGGAAATGTAGACAGAATTAGAATATTTGATTGCTTCGTTACACGTGGTACAAGAATAGAAGTTGATCAGGAATTTTCTAATAATTATAAACCTCATAAACCAGCTCAAACTGTCATTTCATTTCCAATATATATAACAACTAATTTAAATATTACTGAATTTTATGATGAATCTTGTATGAAACTACTTGGTAAATTAACTATAGATTTACCGGATGCTCATCTTGGAAGAAGCCGTAAAGTTGAATTTTCATTAATTTTTGGAAAAATGGAAATCGTTGCTAAAGCAAAAAGTTTACAAAATGGAAGAACCTATAATACTAGATTTGAATTAGAATTAAGTTAATATAATGTATATTATATTTATAATGTACAAGCATTAGCGACTCATTTTTTAAATAAAATTATAATACAGTCAATAAATAGAAAATCAGAATTTGTCTCAAACAAATCGATTAAGGTGGCGTTATTCATCCCTTAATCTGGATTTAAAGATTCTAGTCGCAGTTCTAATCGTAATCGCAACACGAAATAGCAATTTGTTACTGTATGTTTGTACTATACTATTTTATTGTATTCGTATGTTTCTGCAACAATTTATTAGGGAGAATCCATCGTTCTACTGAAATTAATCAAAAATAACTGCACAGTTTACCAATGATTTGATCTTTCGACAAAACTTGGTATGAATGCCATACTAATATCAATATCGGCATAAATATTATATTTTATTTTGTCCAATCAAAAAATATTTATTGTTAAAAACTTTAATGACTTTGTTCACATAAATGTCTACCAGAATCAATTCTAAAATTGCTTATCTTGGCCGTAGAGTTGCAATCCGTCAATCCGTAAATAATATCTATCAATGCATAATATAATAAAAAAAATTGTTTTCAAAAAATAAAAAAGAGAGAAAATTAAAACGGATTGAAAATTCACCCGGATCGGATAAAAATCAATTCGTTTTTATTTTTATTTTTTTTTGTATTAAATAGTTACCAGATTGTGCATTGGGATGCAGTCTTATAATATATAAAAAAAATTTTAATCTTTATTAATTAAAATCCGTGTATAATTGCCAAAATATGCTCATTCGAATTCATTCCGTGTTCAGCACTTTTCTAGGGAATGCTCACTCTACGTTATATGTTTGCAAATATTTCTTCAATTTAGAATGATCTCATCACGGAAATCTGAATCAATGATATTATGCTTATAATTATTCGTTCTGACAAACACAACCATGAGTGGTTATTAATTTCTTCTTGAGGAAAGAATGAAAAAAATTTTTGTGCAGAACAACTAACACACAATATTCTTCCATTAAAAATGTATATTCGCGTAGTAATTGCTATAAGTTTTAACGACTTTAAAAATTTTAAATCTCTATAATGGTATATGATACGATATTAACGCTCATTAATTTTAAAAATAAAGTTTCCACACTTTCTGTAAGATAATATTATTTGAGTCAATAAAGATTTATTTTATATATAATAATAATAATAATATCAATTGTTAGAGATTCGCGTATTCTAATCGATCAGATCCTGGATTATTACAAATAATATCTGGCTAACACATTGGTTTATTCAAAACTAACACAATTCATATTTCTAATTATTAAAATCTTATTAAATGGGGAAATCTTACTTCACCCCAAACAATTTTGTAAAAATAAAGATTTATCATCTTCAAAATCTGTAGAAATTTTTTGGAAATATTCTTCAAATAAAAACCCTAAGTATTTGCATAACAAGTTATTAAAAAAAAAAAAGATAAAGCTCAGAATAGATTTTTCAATTAGGAAAGTTGAAATTACAAGTTTACAACTGAACGTAATTCTTTTGTACGTAATTCTACGATCAGACATATCTCGGTTAAATTGGTTGATTAGTTATTTATACGTCATTTAATATATATAAATTGATCAAGTGTTAAAATTTGTATAGTTTTAATTTAGATTTATATTAATATAAAGTTGTAAATTGGACACGTATAAATATACTCGAAAATAAATTAAATGTAAAAAATTAGTTATGGATAAACTAATAAACTAATTTCATAATTACAAATCAGAAGAGTGTATTAAAAAAATAGGAATTTGAGAGTGGTGGTGATGACATCATCTATTTGCTTTAACATATTCTAATATTGCTAAAATCATCAAATGAGAGTTACAATATAAATATAGCTAAGATTGTGATTATGAACCCAATAATAAAATAGATCAAATACCACTCGGATATAATTAAATTGCTAATTTTGGAGAAGATAGGGCTTGTTTCTATATACTAATATAAATCCTTTAAATATAGTTTAGATTTCTTAGAAGTTTATTAATATAAAATTTATATATTTAATAAAAAGTGTAGAAATTGTAAATACTTATCTATCGAAAAAAAAGACCCAAATATTTAAAATCATCACGTTTAACTTTTTGTCAGTTACTAATGTCCATAGAATTCTTTTTGGTCGGTTTTCCAGCTTCATCAGCTCCTGGTTGTTGCGATTTGTTATTGTTATGAAATAAACTTAAATTTTTTATTATTTTAGACCCTAATGATTTTTGTTCAGCTTTAACCGCTAGAATTTTTGCAGGAACAAGAACTTTACGATTTGTTTCTGAATTCGGTTCTACACATATTAATGGAAAGCTACATAAATTTACGACCCAATCATCATAATTATCATCTTCTAAATTTCCTACTTCCATTAATGTTGCATCAACTTTCGTATCTTTTTCAATCCATATAAGTTCAGCTGGCGGTTCTAAAACTTTTATACGGAAAACGAACATTTTAATAACATTTCTAATAATTTCTGCTAACATATCTTCATTTTCTTTTCTTTTATCAGCTTTTTTAATTGTACGAAATTGGCTCATATACTTAATAATTTCATCGTTGAGTCCCTGAACGAATTCATGTTCTCTTTTATCACTGCTTAATCCAAATCCACGATCCCCAAGAACCGCGTAAACAAGTTGTTGAATTTTTTTTGGAGCTGCAAAACTAACTTCGTCTGTACCAGTTCGGGAATTGATTAATGTATTTATCTTTGACAAATAATTTTTTGTTGAGTTCATAATATCTAATTCAAGATATTTGTTCAAGATTCTGTTATCATTAATTTCTGGTTGGAATCCTTTGGTCAGATATTCATTAGTTCTTGTAATAATAGTTTCAACAATAATTCTTTGTAGAGCAGCCTTAGGAAGAACTTTATCTCCTTCAGAATATTTACAATTGAACTGTTCCGATAAAAGTCGTGCTAAATTTTGTTCATTTATATCAACACCCCCCTTTATTTTACAAAATTCATTAATTTTATCTTGTATAATCCCGATCTCTATTGTAAGTTGAGTAGGATTATTGGCGTCATTATCACCCAAACGATAATTCCTAGCATCTCCTAAAGCTGACTGATATTGGGATGCTTCATTTCTTAACTCTTCATTCTTTTTGTAAAGCTCAATATAATCCTTCCTTTTATTTTTCAGTTGTTCTTCTAATTGATCGTATCTTTCATTCCAAGCGTTAATAGTATAAATAGTATGCTCAAGTTTACTTTCAAGTTTCGATTTTTCATTACTCAATTGGTTTACCGTATTAGCCCATGCTTTTTCTTTATTATCCCATCCGATTTCACTTTCTCTAATGCATCTTTTTAATTTTTCTTCCTCTTTCTCTTTCTCTTTGAGTTCTCTTTCTCTTTTTTTGAGTTCTTTATCTTTCTCTTTTAATTTTTCTTTTAGTTCTTTCAAATCTTTTGATTCCTTTGATTCCTTTGATTCCTTTGATTCTTTTGATTCTTTTGATTCCTTATCATTATTATCCTTCTTGTCTTTAGGTGGTTCATTGGATCTTTGTTCGAAATTATCAGTTGATTGAACTGTAATAGGAAATGCTTCCCCAGGAAGATGTTTTACGTTGACTTGTATCATTTCTTGAGGTTTGGTAGAATTTTTGTATTCATCGAGTAAACCGGAAAGTACTGTTTGAATATCTTGAGGGTCCATATTTGAAATATCTTCTTCTATAAAAAAATTTTGAATAATAGTCTTAATACTCCCAAGAGTAATTTTCCTATTAGGATTCTTTGTATTATTTGGATAATTTGGATAATTTGGATTATTTGAATTATTTAGATTATTTGAATTATCTGGATTATTATCTGGATTATTCGAAGTATTTGGATTATCCGGATTATTTGTAGTATCTGGATTTTTAATATCTGGATTATCTGAATGATTATGCGTATTTTCAGGAGGAGAGCTCATAGAGTTTTCCATTTCATAAAAGAAATCTAAAGAAAAAGCTTTATTTGGTTTTTTCTTGTAAAAAAAAAAAAAAAAAAATTCAAACCCGAGATACAAATCTATAAAAAGTAATTAGTTTTATATTCCAATATTTCTTATCAAATTGAAAATCTTATATTATCATTTATTGATTGATTCAGAAAAAGATACAACAAACAATATAATAATGTTAGTGTTGTGTAATTTTCTACTTGCATATTGGAAATTGGAATAAACGTATGAAATTTTTAATTTTGGGTATACAAAAATCGTCTTTTGTAATTTTACCATTTTAGGAAAAGTGGATAGTGACATTTGATTAGTGATTATTCTTAAAAACTGTTATTTGAAACATAACGTGACGATTAAAGTATTAAACAGACTACCGATTCCGCTTAATTACCATTTTTTGAAAGACGGAAATGTTGTAGTACATCACTTGCTGATACTTACCGCTTTACTTTTTGTTTATATAACACGGAGACAAAAACTTGGTTTTTTTAATAGCGGGTATAATGTGACACGGAACCACAATGTGACAATTGAAAAGAATGTACGTAAATCAAATTTATAATGGCTTTTTTTTTTTCCTTCCGCTTTGAATTCGTTGGGACTTCTTCATTTCCGTTTTTCCTTTTCCTGATAGAATTCGTTGAGCTTTTTTTCATATCTACTTTGGTAGAATTTTCTGAACTCTTTTTTCTTCATAGAAGAAATCATGGATGTTCGTGTCGTTATATCCATTGGTAATTATCTAAAGTTGTTTTCTTTAAATACCGCTATTATTTAGAAAATCATTGCTAAAAAAATTCATTTATTCAAACCAATAGATTTTGGGACAACATATTCTGTAAGTTATTCTTTTTAATCTTCTTATTTGAGCTATTGGATTTTCGTTAAATCATCGCAAAATTTTTAGGGATTCGCATATGCACATAAAGTAAATACCGAAATTATCACGAATGATACTTGGCCCGACCAAATCGGTCCATTAAAAACAAATACAGTATTACAATATGACAAAAATTTTAAAAATGTTGAAGAATGGGGGTTTCCGGCGTTAGCTAAAAAACCAAAAAAAAGTAAAGGAAAATCAAAAAATCAGAATGCTTCAAAACCGATCGAGCATTTTAAATTACATTTAGGTAATATGCCTGACAATGAGAAACCTGTTATGCCTAAAGGCATAAATTATAGAAAAGCCATCGTTGATTATTTGAAATGTATGGGAAAAGTAAGAATTTTTGTATTTATTTAAGTATGATCTTCCTTGTTATGATTAGATTTTCTCATTCTTATTTGATTCTTTATAAATAGTTAATCAAGGAGACAATAGGTACTCGATGGCCAAATGTAAAATTCATGGATCAAGTTTTGATCATATTAACAGTTCCTGCAGGATTCTCCGATCAAGCAAAGGCAATAATGAGGGAATGTATTTATGAAGCAGGTTTAATTAACACAAAAAGCTCCGAAAAATTACAATTTACTACTGAACGTGAGTATATCTCAATGCTAACGCCTTGTGTCCAATTTTAATTTATAAATTAATCAATTAATCTTTTTTCTTTTTGGTTTTAATAGCTGAGGCAGCTGGTAAGTAATATCAAGTTCAACTACAAAATTATTATTTGGAATTTATCTAACGTTTTTCTTTCAAAAAAAAAAGCTGTATATTGCATGAAAGTGCTAAAGGAGCATATTTTAGATATCGTGGGAAGTATGTATATTTAATTTTTTCTAATGCTTATTTCAGAGTATGAATTAATTACTGATAAATTTTATAAATTTTTGATCTAGCCAACTTCTTAATTGTTGATTGCGGAGGTGGCACAGTGGATTTAACCACGCGGCAATTATTGGAGAATGATAAATTAGGAGAAAAAACTATTAGAGCATGTGGATTTTGCGGAGGAGTTTATGTTGACAAAAGTTTTCTTGCTTTTATCGGAGGGAAAATAGGACCTTCGGTTTTGACATTGCTTCAAGAAAATTATTACGGACAACTACAATATATGGTTCAGGAATTTTGTAAAAAAGTAAAGTTGTTGTTTACAGGGAATAAGGAAGAGTATAAATCTTTCGATTTGGATTTGGAAGATGTTTGTCCAATTATAAAACAATATGTCACGGGTGATAAATTAGAACAATTGGAAGAAGATGAATGGATCATAGAACTTAAATTTGAAGATGTTAAAAGAATGTTTGATCCTGTAATTAACAAGATTATTAAATTAATACGTGAACAACTTAATAATAGTGGCACCATTTCTGCTATGTTCTTGGTCGGAGGTTTTAGTGAATCCAAGTATTTACAAAAAAGAATTAGAGAAGAATTTTCGAGTAAAGTCAAGAACAGTAATATTTCCGTACCATCCCAACCAGTGGCTGCCATTGTCAGAGGAGGTAATTAATAAAATTGTATATAGACGTTGTAATTTTTGTTTATTGATAAGAACTAAACAATTCATTATAATATTAAAAGCGCTTGAATATGGTCTTAATATGAAGAAAATTAAGTCCAGAAGGCTACCTTTATCATATGGAATCGAATTGGCTCCACTATGGTATGAATTTTTTTTTTTCGTTTTTTTTTAAAAAAAAAAATTAAATATTTTAATTAAAATTTATAGGAAACCTGGCGACCCACCGGAAAGACGTCAAACGCATGATAGAATCTTTAAATTCAGACGTTTAGTTGAAAGAGGTATTGAAGTCGACACTGATGAAGAATTTGGATTAGAATTACACCCTAGTTACGCAAATCAAACGGAACTTTCGATAGAAGTATATTCTACGACCGCGAACGAAGCAACTTATTGTGATGAACCCGGGATGAAAAAAGTCGGGGAATTAAGATTGGATTTCCCGGATCCACATCTCGGATTCCAGAGAACAATAAAATTCACTTTAACGTTTGGTCAAATGGAAATTCGTGCTTATGCTAGAAATCAGCAAGGAAAATCAACAAATGCAATATTTGAATTTCTCATTTAAATATTTTCCTTTGTAAAATATTATTTAGATCAAACAATGTTTACATTATTATCAGATAATTTATTTATATATATATATGTATGTGTTTTTTAATCTTAAATTATTTAATTTTTAAATTCATGCTGATATTAAACCTTTTGAATCAAAATTTATAAATTATATTTACAAGAAAATTAGTAAAAGGAGCGAGCGGACTAAAAAAAGTTCGAAATTGAAAATGATGTTATCGTAAACATAAAGAATTAAATAAAAGAGACAATATGCGCATTATTCGCGCAGCAGTTTATATATTCTGTAAATCTTTTCCTTTATAGCTTTTTCATGTAAATAAAAGGCTTATTCCTTCCTAGTAAGGACTGTGATAATGTCAATAAATTTTATAAATAGAGGTTCATTTTGAAAATTTTTTTTACGTAATTTTTCAGAGTTAGTTAGTTAGGTATATTGTAATAATAGAAATAGTTAAACAGCATCCCCAGTTTGTTTTTTTTTTTGAAAAAAAACAAATATCATACATACATCATATATTAAAGAACAGAAAATCATGTCCGATAATTTAGATAATGATATTCGCGTTGTCGTCGGCATAGGTAAAAAAAAATTTTGTAATAAGAAAAAAAATATTATATAATCGCCGCAGAAATCGAATATTAACCGTTGCTTATCTTTTTTTTATTTTTTATTTATTTTTTATTTTATTTTGTTTATATAAAGATTTCGGCACAACTTACTCGGTAAATCACATAATTTATTAATTACTTTATGTATATAATTAATTAGCTTAAGAATAAGTCGTAAGTTATAACGACTTTTTTATCATTATGAATTCGATTTATTTTTTTTTCTCTATAAATCACAGGGGTTCGCATATGCGCATGTAACGAATCCTGAAATTATAACTAACGATGTTTGGCCGAAACAAATAGGACAAATGAAGACAAATACTGTCCTGAATTATGATATTGAATTTATTGATGTTGAATGTTGGGGATATCCAGCATTAGCTAAAAAACCAAAGCGAAAAGAAAAAAATTCTTCGACCAAACCAGTTGAATTATTTAAATTGCATTTAGGTGATATGCCCGAATCAGATAAACCTTACCTTCCGCCTAATTTAAGTTATAAGAAAGCCATTACCGATTATCTTAGAGAAATGGGTAAATAATAAATTTTTGATGTGATCATACGAATAATTTGCACAGTTAATAATCCAACCTTTTATAATTATATTTATTATTATAATTATTATTACAGGAGAGGTGATTAAATTTATTATTTTATCTTTTTATTTTTATTTTTTTTTAAAAAAAAAGGACCTTATTTTAACGATTATTCATCCATTTATATGTGTATATAGCTAATTAAAGAGACTGTGACCACTCGCTGGCCTGGAATTGATTTTATGAATCAAGTACTTTTGGTTCTTTCAGTACCCGCTGAATTTTCTGAAAAATCAAAGGGAATAATGAGAGATTGCGTATACAGGGCTGGTTTAACAGGCAGTTTAAATTCTCCCAGGCTACAATTCACTACTGAACGTAAGTTTAAAATAAAAATACACATACATATGTATATCTTACATTTATCTTTTTTTTTCAAAAAAAAAAAAAAAAAAAAAAAAAAATATAGAGAATTTATGTGATTAAAAAAAAAACATAAAATTTTTTTTTTTTTTTTTTTTTTTTGCAGCAAATATGCCCGGTATTAAAACAATATGTCACTGAACCGGAAATAGATGATTTGGAGGATGATGAATGGATTATTGAAATTAAATTTGAGAATGTTAGAAAAATGTTTGATCCGATTATTAACAAAATTATTAGATTAATTAATGGACAACTTGATGCCGATAATGACTGTTCTGCAATGTTTTTAGTTGGAGGATTTAGTGAATCGAAATATTTACAAAGAAGAATTAAAAAAGAATTTAATAATCGAGTTAGACATATTTCAGTACCTCGTCAACCAATTGCTGCTATTGTGCGTGGGGCAGTAAAATATGGAATCAACAAAAGACATATTAAAAGTAGGGTATTAAAATATAATTACGGAAAGTTTGGTCTTAGGAAATTTGAAAGCAATGATGATATTCATAGAAAGAGACCAAGTGGTTATGTTCAATATTTTGAATTGTTGGCCAGAAAAGGAACAGTCGTTGAAGTTAACGAAAGATTTTCTGAAACTTATTGTCCGGAATACAGGTAATTATTATGGATTTATAATTAAATCTAATTTGTAAACTAATATATATTTATATATATATATTTTTTTTAATGTAAATATAGTGAACAAAATTCTATGCTTTTCCAAATATTATTAACAACAAAAGATAATATAAAATATTGTGATGATAAAGATGTAACAAAATTAGGTGAATTTGTTACTGAATTACCAGATATTCATCTTGGAAAAGATAGACTTGTTTATTTTGAATTATGTTTTGGCGAAATGGAAATTAAGGCGTACGCGAGGAATAAATATAATGATCAAGAATATAATACTACTTTTGAATTAGAATTTTAGATTGTGAACATTTAGTTAGCAAGATCATCATTAAAATATTAAAAATATTATAATAATCACATATGTATTTAATATATAAATTATAGTATATTGTTTATGTTTATCAAGAAATAAACTATTAATCTATTCTATTATTTACTATTTTCACGTGATTAATACAACCTAAGTTGTTTGATAATGCAGAGATTGTACTACTTAAGTGGGAAAATGTGATATATATATATATATATATATATATATATATTAATAGACAATTTTTTCCCCTCATTTTTATTGAAAAAAATGCAAGGAATTCGTGTTGTTGTTGGTATAGGTAATAAAGAATTAACAGTATTTAAATTTAAAATTTAAAATAAAAAAAAATTAAAAACAAAAAAAATCCAATACTTAAAATTTTATAAATCTTATATCTACCCCGTATTTAAATAATTGTGGTCTTAAAGATTTCGGTACAACATATTCGGTAATTAAAAATTTCCTTAATTCGTTTAGTTTTTTCGAAATTTGATTATTGTAAATAATCAGAATTGTTTTTATCATAATAAAATAGGGTTTCTCTTACGCGCATTTATCAAACCGTATAATTGCAACCAATAATAAATGGGCTGATCAAGTTTCAAATACAATAGACGATGAATATTTGGATCAAATAGAAAACTTAAAAATAATTACAGCTTTAGGATATGATAAAGATTTTAAAGAGGTTGAATGTTGGGGGCAATCAGTATTTACAATTGAAGAAAAAAAATCAGTATATCCTGTCGAATTATTTAAATTACATATGAGTGATTCGGATAAAGATAAAGACAAATCAAAAAATGCTCACCTTCCGGATAATTTTGATTATAAGAAAGCTATTACCGATTATCTTAAGGAAATGGGTAAACAGTAAATTTTGAACTCAATGAGCTTATATCAAATAAATAATTTTAACAATTTTTTTTGTTCATTAAAAAAAACTTACAGGAAAGGTGATTTAAAATATACAAATCATTATATATATAATATATTTCTTTAAGTAATACTTATTTTAATTATTTATTTCTATCTGATATAGGAAATTAAAAAGACTATAAAAACTCGTTGGTCTGGTATTGAATTACACCAAGTGCTCTTTGTTCTTGCAGTTCCAGCGGGATTCCCGGAAAATTCAAAAGCAATATTGAGAAAATGTGCATACGATGCTATGATAATAAATAACCTAAAAACATGGAAGCTACAATTCACAACAGAACGTAAGTAATATGAAAACTTATTTATATTTTAAAAACACTTTTTATAATTTTTCATTTATTTTTTTTTATTTACTCATTTTAGCTGAAGCGGCAGCAATATATTGTATAGACAATATCCCTAAAGAAAAAATCAGTGAATATATCAAGAGTAATTAAATTTTGTAATCTGCTATTCTTCTTATGGCTTAGATTAGTGTGTTCTAATAACTAATTATTTATTGTTAGAATCATTCTTAGTCGTTGATTGTGGTGGTGGTACCGTTGATTTAACAGTTCGTAAACTATTAAATAAGGATGAATTAGGCGAAGTGACTATAAGAACAGGAGGTCTCTGTGGGTCGACTTATGTCGATAATGAATTTATAAAGTTTCTTGAAAATAAACTTGGAAAATCCGCAATTAACAGTTTAAAGGAACATCATTATGGGCAATATCGACTTTTGATACATGAATTTTGTAAAAACGTTAAATTTCTTTTTACTGGTGTTGAGGAAGAATATAAAACCTATGAATTGGATATTAAGGTTAGATTTTATTCTTAAATATAATTTTATTTTATATTTAATTATTATTAATTTATAACTATGTAGAAACTAAGTCCAAAATTGAAACAATACGTTACTAAACAACATTCAGATGAAAATCGATGGATGATTAAACTTGGGTTTGATGATGTTAAAAAAATGTTTGATCCTGTTATTAACCAAATAATTAAATTAATTCGTGGTCAAATTGATCAACTTGATAAAGATGACACGTGTCCAATCATGTTTTTAGTTGGAGGTTTTAGTGAATCGAAATATTTACAAAAAAGGATCCGAGAAAATTTTAAAGAACAACAGATTACAGTGTCTCCTCGACCAATTGCTGCTGTTGCAAATGGAGCAGTAAGTTATGGAATTAACGAAAAGTTTATTAAGAATAGAGTATTGAAATATAATTTTGGAAGGTCAACCCTTAGACCGTATGATGAAAATATTGATTCGATTGATAAAAGGAGAGAGAGTGGACATGTTTTAGTTTTTAAATTATTGGCCAAAAAAGGAACAATCGTTGATGTTGATCAAAAATTTTCTCAAACTTCTCATCCGGAAAACAGGTAATCTTCCTTATTATAAAACAATTCAATTGAAATTCAAATAACACTTTTTTTTAAAAAAAAAATTAGTGATCAAGAACAAATGTGGTATCAAATATTAATAACAGAAAGAGATGATGTAAAATATCCTGATGAAGATGGCGTAATAAAATTAGGCGATTTTATTATTGATTTACCAGATGCACATCTTGGTAAAGATAGGAAAGTTCGGATTGAATTAACTTTGGGCAAAATGGAAATTCAAGCATACGCAAAAAACGAATATAATGGACAAGAATATGAAACTTCTTTTGGTTATCATGATAAAGATCTCGTTGAAAAAATCTTAAAAGAAGAACCTTAATATAAAATCGCGTAAAACAATTCTTTATATTTCGTAGAGGAAATATATTATTTTATAAATAAAAATTATCTCAAATATCTATAAAAATTTCTTTTCGTGACTTATATTGATGTTGAAATCGTGGCGGAAGACGGAACACAATTGTCACAGTTGTTTAGAGCATATTCTAACTTGGACGTAATAATATTTGCGGTTTTATATTTTCACCAAAAACGTATAAATGCTCACTTTATTATGCGTAAGCTTTATTGACTTATAAGCATTAATACTGTATTAATAATACAAAATACACTAGTCTTGTAAAAAATACTGTTACAAAAATAAAATAAAAAAATTTCAACCCTTATCCTATTATAATATAATTCATATAACATAAATAAATACATACTACAGTATAGCATTTATCAAAAAGCTTTAATAGTCTGTGCGCACGTATACGAAGAATTTTTATATATATACCCGTCATCAAAATAAATATTAGTATGCCATTAATGTCAATATCGACTTCTTGGACCTGGAGCGTGTTTACTCTATCGAAGAGTTTGAAAGCCTGTTCACCACTTCGAGCTGGAAAACTCATCCCCATACCCCCACAAGAAAGTTGTTAATGGTTCTTCTTTTTGTTCAAATCTCTTCACCGTATCGCGCACTTCTTTCTTTTATCATAGTTGCCTAGTAATTTATGGATCAAAATGTAGACACTTAAAAAATTATTCTAAATTCATATTGGTGAATAGCACCTTATTCTGGACTTTGAAGGGTATGGATATATACCCAAAGCCCAGGATATATTCTTAACAAGTTGAAAAATTGCGTCTCTGCTCTGCTCGAAGATTGGAATGTCACTACTCGACAAAAAGAGATGGTAACTACCTCGCAAGGAGGGTTTCGAGTTTCAGGAGATAAAATTGTTGCTCCAGACGTGACTTTTACGCCAAGAAGTGCATTAAAAAATTGAGCAAGAAACAAATTACAACTTATAGAGGCCGACCTTGGATCCCCATATTTGTCGCGGAGGTTGACGATTTCGAGGACATTTCAAGCAAGAATAAAAAGTAACCAGACCTAATAACTCGAATACTTACCTCTTTCTACTATCATTAGCTCAAAATTTGTTCAAGCTGACTCGAAAATGAAAGATATATATTTTGCGTAAAATACGTATGTACAACTCGGATGGTTGATCGACCCAGTTCATGAAAATATCTAGGTTTATAAGAGGGACAAGGACAATCAACCTTTTCGTCGTAAGAAACCATGGATCGATCTCAGTGAGACAGTTTTCTGCCGGAATTTACTTTAAAAATAAATCGTATTAAAATGGAGAACTTGAGGTACGCTGTTACTGTATTATTTATTCTCTATAACTTCTCTGCTATAAACTTATTATAATATTTCACAGGATGCGCCGTCATCAGAATCAGAAACATCATCGTCATCGTCATCGTCTTCAGGTTCGTCAACGGCATCATCAGTGGAGCAACTTGTGTCTATTGTGACCCCTGGTTTGCGAGCAAATATCTTCTCGTGGACCATCTAAAGTCTGATCATGATGGAGTAGATAGCACATCTCCCTTCCCCTTAAATAATCCACCAAATAAGCTTAGTAATTCAATCAAAATTTTTCTTGTAATTTTTATTGTGTTTATTATATTGATGATCTGCATTGCAAAAATTGTTCCGTTTTTATCATATATTGCCCATAACATGATTACCATGGAGTAACATCTATATTGATGCAGTATATCATGATAAGTTTCTTACCAAAAATCAGGACAACCACTTTCTAACAAGAGTGAGCAAAATTACAGTTCTTTAGAGAATGGAGCATGGCTATAAGGGTCATCCTATGATGTTTTCGTGGTAGGAGTATACCCTCCTGTGCTGATACTGTCCTACTGTCTGTGCTATAATCTGTTGTGATGTTTGTTATACTGTTGGTGGATATTTCCAAGTTTTGAGACATTGCTATATTTCATTTTTAATAGAGTAAGGAAGCTGATTAAGTAGTATAAGTGAAAATTAAAGATGTTGCCTAAAACTATTTTCCAGTTTTCAAAACTGAAACTGAAATTAAAACTAAAACAGTATTTTTAAAAGCCTTTTTATGAGGTTTAACTATATGATATACCAAATCTTTTTCCAAAGATTTAAATTTAGATCTAGTTAATTTTATATTGATATATTTTGAACCTGTATTATTAGCTGTTATAAAGATCAGTTTGTATAGTAAAAGAAAGTTTGATTTTAGCTTTTTGGCAGTCTTATAAATATGATCTATTAATAAAATTTTAAACAATAAATTTTAATATTATTTTTCAACTCACTTAGAAAGCTGTTCTTTAAAAAAAATAAATAAATATAATTTATTTTTTTCAGCTTATTTTATATTTAATTTTATTTAAAAAACCATTTTCTAAAAAAAGACAATGAAGAATATTATTAGTAAACATTTTTAACAAAAAAAATTAAAAAATTATTTTTTTATCTTTTAGTTTATCTTGTATCCAATTTTATTTGGAATAGCTATTATCTAAAAAAAAACAATGAAAAATATTAGTAAACATTCTTAACAAAAAAAAATAAAAAAAATATAATTTTATTTTTTCTGATTTATCTTGTAATTCAATTTCATTCAAAAAGCTAAGGTCTAAATTAATGTTGTTAAGTACAAGTCAAACTGAACCAAGCCAAACCAGACTGATGGGGTTGACTCAGTTTGACTTGAAGATTTTTAAGTTATGGTTTGGTTCAATTTGACTTGACTTGTCAAGTTGATGGGGTTAAACTGATGGGGTTGATAGGGCCAATAGGCAAGTTAATGGGACTGATGGAAAGTCAATGGGACCAATATTAATGATTTCATCAGTTCGACTTGAAGGTCTAAGTCAATCAGTTTGGTTTGGCTTTAGCTCCAAGTCAGACCAAACCAGACCGTTAACATCACTAATCTAAATATCTCAAAACTTTTACAGTTATTTTCAAGTAAGATAGTTAAAGCGACTTCTATTAAAATTCCTGTAAAGGTTTTTAGTAGTAAACCCACATTAGTAATTACTAAAAATGATATCCTAAAAATTCTGAATTTATTTATATCATATAATCAGTATTTATTTTACGCAAGATTATGTGAATAATATCACACAGATTTATTATATAAATTACATATCTGAGCTTTTTTTGATGGTTATATTTTCTTAAAAAAATAATAAAAAATGTATTCTTAACAAAAAAAAACAAAAAAAATTAAAAAATTATTTTTTTTTTATTTCTTAATTTAATTTATAACCAATTTTATTTAAAGGGTTGCTTTAAAAAAAAATATTAAAAAATATTAATAAATATTTTTTAAAAAATCAAAAAATTATTATTTTTTTTATTCTTTGAACTTCAGTTTGTTATTTTATATTCAATTTCATTCAGTAAGTTTTTTAAAATAAAATAATAAAGAATGTTAGTAATATTATTAATAAAAAAAAAATAAAAAAAAATATTTATTTTTTTTGACTTACTTTATGTTTTATAATTTTTAAAAAGCTGTTTTTTAAAAAAATAATAAAGAATATTAATAAATATTTTTAATAAAAAAAATTAAAAGATTATTATTTTTTTATTTCTAACTTATATTATATCCATTTTTATTCAATAAGCCATTCTCTAAAATAAGATAATGAAAAACATTAGTAAATATTTTTAATGAAAAAAAAACTAAAAAATTATTATTTTTTTTCATTTTTTAATTTACTTTATATCTAATTTCATTTAAAATGTCTTTTTTTTAAAAAAAAATAAAAGAAAAAAATTGGCTGTAACTAATTTTCTTTTTTTTTTTTATATTAAAGAGTTGGTATATACTTTATTTAAATGAATTGAAAAGAAGTACTATATCAATTACAAAAATAAAGCTTTATATCCTAAAGTCAATTTGATTATCTTTTACTCTAATTAAAGTATAATAATATTAAAGATAGTTTTTTAACAATAAAAAACTTATATAAAGAATTAATAACAAGTAATAAAAAATTTTAAAAGAAAACTAAATTCCTATTTGTAATAACAAATAAAAAATAAAATAATGTAAACTATATAAAGTAAACTAACTTTTTATATAGTAAAAGAATCCAGTTGTTTATTACTTTTAAATCCTCCTATCTGTTAATTTCTTTAACATCTTCTTTAATTCTATAACTTCTTTGTAAAGTTTTTTTTGAAATTCTAAAGGTTTTCTGTTTCTTATCTTTACTTTATTTAAAAATAAACTTGTGGTTTTAATTAAAAGAACCTTTTTAGTTGTTCTTTTTCTTTTTCCAATTTTACTACTTTTGAGTATTCAAAAGGATTTTGTTAAATATTTGTAACTTTATTTATAAAATAAGATTTTTTTTAGAAAATGGATTTATAAATTTTAAAATCTTTTATTATTCTTTAAGCAATCCTTAGAAATCTGATTGAAATAATATTAAAAAGCATGATGATAGTATTAATTTAATTTCTTGTCATTAATCTTGAACATTTTATCTATTAATTTATTTAAATATTTTCATATTTTCAGATAGATAATAAGTTTGCACTTTATTTTTGTAATAAGAATCTTAAAGATTTTGTAATCAGATATAACTAATAAAAATAAATAAAATTGATTGTTGAAGTATAAGAAAGCTATTGAAATCTCTTTTTTTTCCATTTATAAAGAGATCAGATAGCAGAATACTAGTTATAACTAATTTTCAATAGTATTATACTACTAATTTTGGCTATTACTCTTAACTTAAATACAAAAAAAAATTGGAATGTAAAGCTATTTAATATTAATAAATAATGCAAAATTAATAAAATAAAATCAGCAACCTACTTTAAATGATTAATAGGATGATACTATAAAAATACTTAAATATAAACAAAAAATAATTGATTAAAATAAACTTGGTTAAAAACTTTTATAAGCTGTAAGAATCTTTTTTTAATAATTAAAAATCCTTTGCTATTAAATCTCTTTGATCTTCATATAATTCATCTTCATATAGTAATTTATCTGGAATTTTATTAAACATCATTTGTATAACCTAATAAAGTTAATTCAAAGTTTTTATGGTAAACTAGGGAACAGCCAAACAGCCAAACAGGGCCACAGAGGAGTCTAGAACATAAGATAGTGTATTAATTTTATTTACCACATGACGAAAACTGATAACAATGGTATTACTACTTTCTTTATTGAGATATAACGGGAACCAATCAGTAAATCAAAAAATAATAAAAGTCAATTCTAAACTTTAGAAAATATGAATAATCTCATATTAAATACTAAATTTGAAATCTTTTTATTTAATATTTACCAATATATTTTATTTTATATTATAATTAAATGGTTAAAGTTCCAAGTTCTCTAAATTTGCAAAATAAAAATACAGTTCACCCTAGAGTTCCAAACAGGTTGACCAAATTCAGGTAACCTGACAGGTTGACCTGAATTTATCAGGTCAGGTTTAGCAATTGCAATTCAGCATCAGTTCAGGTTGTAATATCAATATAGCCTGAATGACCTGTTGACCTGAAACTATGGTTTTATATAATATAAGTGATGGTATTATAATTCACTTTTTATATTGATTTTATATAATAAAAGTGAGTTGCGATATTAGGATTCACTTTTTTATATTGATTTTATATAATAAAAGTGAGTTGCGATATTGGATTCACTTTTTTATATTGATTTTATATATAAAAAGTGAATTGCGGTATCGGAATTCACTTTTTTATGTTGATTTTATATATAAAAGTGAATTGCGGTATCGGAATTCACTTTTTTATGTTGATTTTATATATAAAAAGTGAATTGTGGTATCGGAATTCACTTTTTTATATTGATTTTATATAAAAAAAGTTAGTTGCGGTATTGCGATTCACCTTTTTGTACGATTTTAATATAAAAAAGTGAATCGCAATATTTTCAAAAAAAAATGTTTTGCACCATTTTTTTCGATATAATTAATAAAAATCCTGAAAATTTTCAGGTTTCAGTTCAGGTCAGGTCAAACAGATAACCTGACCTGACCTGACCTGAAAAAAAAATTTCAGGTCAGGTTTATCAATTAACCTGACCTGACCTGACCCATTAGGAACTCTAGTTCACCCTCACTATAGTGAATCCCATGGGCTGGAGATTAAAATTCATTATAGTAAGAAATTCACTATACTGAGGGTCATTTTATTATATATAAAAAAATCTGTATCCAAACTTTTCTTCATTATAGCAAGTTATTCACAATATAAAAATTCACTATAGAGAGGGTGAACTGTACAGATCTTTTCCTTTAAATATATTCCAGTTTCTTAGACCAAAAAATGATATCCAAAGTATAGAGATATTAATTTTCAAAAATAATAAACAAAGATATAATGAATTTGTTTAACTTAAATTTTTATTATTACTATATTATATATATATAAGTTTTTTCAACTTGAAAAGCGGCCAGATAATTCTGATTACTTTCTGTAGTTCATTTATTAGTAAAAACATTTTAGGTAAATATAATATTATTTATAGTCTTATTAATTATTAATTTTGCAACTGAATTTATAAAAATTTTTAATATATAACAGGTACTAATATTTTATTATTTTATAACTTAATTAATTATTTCTTAGAATATTCTTTACCAAAGTATACAAAAATATTAAAATTGGTTAAGAAAGCTAGAAAATCTTATTAGTATGATAAAATTAGAAATTACGATTTTTTTTTATAAGAAAAATGAAAATAACATTTAGGTTTTAATTGAAATTTTCTGTTAATGTAAGATAATAATTCTTTATGCTAAAAGTTTCTTAAGTAAATCAGGAACTAAAAATAAAGTAGTGGTCTGAATCTTCATATATACTCTATTAAGCAAAATGCTAGAGGCTAGACTAAAACTAAATTGTATTGAAATTTAAATAAAAAGCAGCAGCGATTTTCTAATTTTATTAATTTATTCCAAATCTACTATGATTGCATAATATTGAAGTATAACTATTTATATAGATTACATACTGATTGAAAGAGAAAATTTACTTTTTTTATATTAAATGGTAATGAGAAAATTTTAAATGAAAAATTTTGATAAGGCGTAATAAATGCGCATAATACATGCAGGCAGTTTGTCAGTTTTGGTCAGGTATTGATCAGGTTTTGGTCAGGTTTTGGTCAGCCCTAAAAATCTGGCCAAAACCTAGCACTGCATGCAGGTATCTTCTAATTTAATACCATTGTTTCCAAAAGAGAAAAGTAATTTTTTTAGATATAAATGAATCTTCTACGAAAATAAACCAAAAACAAAAATGCCCATCAGTAATAATATTCGTGTTGTCGTCGGTATAGGTAATTAAAAAAATCAGCAAAGAAAATCTTTTTTTTTTTATAAATTACAGTAACTAAATTTAGCTGTTAATTTGTTAATAAAAGACTTCGGTACAACTTATTCGGTAATTCAAATTTTTTTTTTAAAAAAAAAAAAAATTTGAACGTTTTTAACAATCACAATTATTTTTCATCATAACAAATTAGGGATTCTCATTCGCGCATTTATCAAATTCTATAATTGCATCTAATGATAAATGGCCCGAACAAGTGCCAAATACAACTAAAAATGATAAAATTGAATATTGGGATCAAATAGAAAACTTAAAAACAAATACGATCTTAGGTTATGATGCCAATTTTGAAAGTGTCAAATGTTGGGGACCGTCAGCGTTAGTTAATACAACTGAACGAAAAGACATAAATCCTGTCGAATTATTTAAATTACATTTGAGTGATTTGGATAATTTAGATAAGGATAAAAAATCTAACAAACCTTATCTCCCTTCTAAGTTAGTCTATAAGAAAGCTATCACTGATTATCTTCGGGAAATGGGTAAACAAGTAAAAATAAATTTGGACTCAATGACTTTATATCATATAAGCAAATTAACAATATTTTTTTTAAAAAAAAAACGCTTACAGGAAAGGTGACTAAATTTTACCTAATATTATATAATATATATGATTCTTTTTTAAATAGAATTATTATTCCTATATCTAATATAGTTAGTTAAAAAGACTGTGACAACTCGTTGGCCTGGTATTGAATGGCACCAAGTGCTTTTAGTTCTTGCAGTTCCAGCGGAATTTCCGGAAAAATCAAAATCAATATTGAGAAAATGTGCATACGATGCTAATTTAATAAGTAACTTAAGAACATATAAGCTACAATTCACTACAGAACGTAAGCAATATGAAAAATTCTTAAACACTATTTATAATTGTTTAATAATAATTTTTTTATATTTTACCTATTTTAGCTGAAGCAGCGGCCATATATTGTATAGATAATATTTCTGAAACTGAAATCTATGATTATATTGGAAGTAAGTTCTGTAATCTATTATGGTAGCTTAGGCCGAGTAAATATTTATAATAATTAATTATTTATTGTTAGGATCATTCTTAGTTGTGGATTGTGGTGGTGGTACCGTTGATTTAACAATTCGTAAACTATTAAGTAAGGACGAATTAGGAGAAGTAACTATAAGAACTGGAGGCCTTTGTGGTTCGACTTACATCGATCAAGAGTTTATAAAATTTCTTGAACGAAAACTTGGAAAATCCGCAATCAACAGTTTAAAGGAACATCATTATGGGCAATATCGACTTTTGATACACGAATTTTGTAAAAACGCTAAATTGCCTTTTACTGGTGTTGAAGAAGAATATAAAGCCTATGAATTGGATATTAAGGTTAGTGCTTTAATAATTCATTTTTAAATATAATTTTATTTTATATTTAATTATAATTAATCTACAACTATGTAGAAAATAAGTCCAAAATTGAAACAATACGTTACTAAACAACACTCAAATGAAAATCGATGGACGATTAAACTTGCGTTTAATGATGTTAAAAAAATGTTTAATCCAGTTATTAACCAAATAATTAAATTAATTCGTGATCAACTTGAAAAAGATGACACATGTTCGATCATGTTTTTGGTTGGAGAATTTGGTGAATCGAAATATTTACAAAAAAGAATCCAAGAAGAATTTAAAGAACAACAAATTTCAGTGCCTCCTCGGCCAATTGCTGCTGTTGCACGTGGAGCAGTAAGTTATGGAATTAACGAAAAGTTTATTAAGAATAGAGTATTGAAATACAATTATGGAAGGTCAACTCTTAGACCATATGATGAAAATATTGATCCGATTGACAGAAGGAGAGAAAGTGGACATGTTTTAGTTTTTAAATTATTGGCCAAAAAAGGAACAGTCGTTGATGTTGATCAAAAATTTTCTCAAACTTCTCATCCGGAAAACAGGTAATCTTCCTTATTATAAAACAATTCAATTGAAATTCAAATAACCTTTTTTTTAAAAAAAAAAATTAGTGATCAAGAAAAAATGTGGTACCAAATTTTAATAACAGAAAGAGATGATGTAAGATATCCTGATGAAGATGGTGTAATAAAATTAGGTGATTTTATTATTGATTTACCAGATGCACATCTTGGTAAAGATAGAAAAGTTCAGTTTGAATTATGTTTTGGCAAAATGGAAATTCAAGCGTATGCAAAAAATGAACACAATGGACAAGAATATGAAGCTACCTTTGATTATTATGATAAAGATATTGCTGAAATAAGTGAAATTTTAGATGAATTTTAACATACTGTAAAAGTCATGTAAAGTAATTTTGATATTTGTAATTATATTTATTTTAAAAGAATAAAAATTGTAATATTGCAATTTATTATATATTTTAAAATTATTAAATTAACTAAATGATTTATAATATTTTTAAAGTCAAAAATTCAATAAACAATAATAAACATAGTAATTATAGTTCAAGCATTAGACTTGTAATTTCCAATCCATATATTTTAATTAATAAAATGATAAATATTTATTTCCAATACATTTCTTTACATTATAAACTTTTGATTCTTTTTACCTTTTTCTTATAATGAAAAAGTACTTCCTTAATTATTAAATTAAGAAATAGTGAAAAAGGAAAATTATTTTAGTTAAAAGATTAAGTAAGGTAAATAAAAAGTAATAAATGGAAGTATATAGAAAAAATACCAAATTGGATAGTAAATAAAAATTTTGGTACATATAATTTGTTAGCAAATTATAATGCAAGCTAAAATCTAATTTTTGCTAACTTTATGGTTAACTTTTTGGAACTCATATATAATTATATAATTATCTGAAAAATTAATATGCAGTAAGGTCAAATTCAGCACCTTTTTATAACAAATAAGTACAGTTAAATTTTAATATATCGATACTGTTAGTACAAGAAAAAAGTATCAGTACATTGAAATATTAATACATTGTAAATTATAATGTGAGTTAAAATTTAATTCTAATTTACATTATACTTAATTCTGAAAAATAAAAAAATATGATTTTGGTGAATTATAAATTACAATTTTTTAATTTATATTAAACCTATACATGTTTCCCAAATTATTTTGGACTGCTGTAATTATAAGTAAAATCCCAAATTCAATTACAGCATTTCAAATTATTTTGGCATTTTATATATATAAACTGTGGTATTCTAAATTATAATTATGGCATCCCAAAATAATTTGAGCAGCATATATAGCCAAACCTATAGTATTAATCCAAATTAAAACCAGTATAACCTAAATTATTAATACATCTTTATTATATATTACTATAAAGGAATAAAGAAAGAATATTATTATATATTATATCATAAAACTATATATAATATCAATATAACAAGGTTTTTTTATTAATTATAAAATGAGATAATTAAAATTTATCAGTATAAACCATTTATTAGTATATAAAATATCGGTATATCAAGGTTTAACTGTAATACAAAAATAATATAAAAGGAAATTTTTAAAATTATATAATATTAACTAATATATATCAAATTAATTTATCATTTATGTATCAAACTAAAATGTATATTTTATTATTTGTGCATCAAATTAAAATACATACTTTAAAATTTATAATATTAGTAATTTTAGAATCTTTGTAAATTATATGCAGTGTTGTCATGGGACATAGACAGGGACATGGGATGGGACAGGACGAGACTGTCCATGTCCTGCATTTTTTATGTTCCAGACATTCTGCGAATATTATATATAATTCACGTGACCTACAATTAACTTATGTGCTGTTTAATTCCAGAACAATTACTAGTAATTACACAATTGGTTTATATTTAAAATAACTAATATTGGGAAGAAGTATTCATTTTTTTTAAAGAAATTTTTTACTTTTAGTAATAAGTAACGAAAAATGTGTAATTTTTTTATGTTATTATTTTTTAATAAAGTTGTTTTTGTATTTGATTATAATTGATCGGATAATTAGTTAGGCAGAAAATTAAATCAATAAAAATAAAAATTCTTAGTTTTTATGATTATATTTATACGATTGTTTATTATTCTGTGGGATAAAACTTCAGAGTCACAGACGCCCAAAAAATCTAGAATGGTAAACTTATATATATCTATATTATTATTAAAAAGAGTTATCAACTCCCATTTAGCACTGGTATCATTAGTGGGATGAGTAATATCATCTAATGATGTATTGCTTTTTTCATCAACTTCATCAATTTCAGCATTTTCCTCCTCCTTTAGCATTTCCATCCAACCTTGAAGATATTCACCAAAAGCATTTTCTAATTGAGGTTCAAAAGCTTCATCATCCGAATCATAATCTACTTCTATTGGTTTAAAATTAGTTTCTAAATTAACAGCTGGATCATTACTTCTATTATTCTCCAGTCCATTTAAATTACCAGGATTTTGATTAGTATCAGTTTCATTTGCATCATCAATATCCAATGTAGGTTCAATAAGTATTGGATTATTATGAAGACGATGGCCATATGTAATATCAGCTCTTAATTTACTCATTTGAAGAACTTTGGAAAACTGTATAAAAATTTGAATATTAGAATAAATTATAAAATATCTTTATAATATAAAAACCATACCATTAATCTATTACATCGTTTTGTTTGTAAAAAACTCATGCAGCTTCAGAGTCTTTCTACTGAAGCTGCATTTACATATATGCTGAAAATTCTACAAGCTACAAGGCCTAATTCATTTGTAGATACACTAACGTAACACCAGTAACGCCAAATATCATCATTGAATTGTCTATATGATTCAAGATCAAATGGATACTTGGCCAGCCAAAAATTATCAAATTCACGAAATATACACTTTGGCTCTTTTTCAGACCATGCACGATAATAATACATCAACCACTTTTCAAATTCTGAATAATTAATACTAGTTGCGTTATTAAATTGATTCATGCGATATTCAGAATGTAATAAATAAGATAGCAAAAGCAGAGGCTCTTTCCAATCTTTCCAACGTTTTTCTAATTGACTAATTATTCGTGTAGCAAGAGTATCATTTGAATAATTTAACCAAAATCGTACTAAATAATTCATACTATGTACTACCTGAAATAAACGTACCTTATCACATTGTAATACATTAAGTAATTTGCAATACGGTTCAAGAATGTTATTAATAAGTGTAATGTGATCCCAGAATATAGAGGAATCAATAATTTCAAAGATTTCGCGTGGTAAAGTTAGTGCTTCTTCTTGCTGCCGACGAGTTTCAACAATTGGTGGTTTGAAGTTAATAGCTAATATCTAAAAAATAGGATTAAAATTTATATTTTAATATTAACATTTAATTAATAATTAAATCTACTTACTTGTAATGCTTTAAAAAACTAACACACATATTATAAAGACTGTTCTATCATGTTTCTCCTGGAACAGATATTGCAATACATTTTTTATATGTTTTATATTGCTGATCCCGCAAACACGCAATAAAGTATTTGTGATTTGAATTTTTAAAATAAGTAGCAAGCTTAATAGCACGATCAATAGTGGTTTTGAATTCCGTAGATTCTTTGAAAATTTTACCCATACAGAGATTAATCTGATGGGCAAAACATGGTAGAAATATTATTGATCTATTTGAAATTCTCATTCAACGCCTATACAAAAAAAAAATTAAAATATATAAGTTTTCAAATATTTAAGATTTAAATAAATAAAATAAATAATAGTAAGAAGTCAATACAAAGCTGCTGCATATGCTGATGCACTATTAGTAACTATAGCACAAACAGTAATTTCTTTATTTCGTAACTCAGTAAGCATTGCTTCAGTTTTCTCAATAACTGCTGTATAATTTTTACGTTCAGAACTAATATCAACTGCTTTTCAAACATATGGTTTTCCATTAGAAGCTAATAAAACCGTTCCTAACAATTGCTCATTTTTTACATTTGTCCATCCATCAAAAGTCAGTGTCACACCAACTGGATTTTCTTTAATCGCAATTTCCATTGCCTTATCTGAATCAGCTACAACTAAGGTTGCTTGCCGAAACTAGGGAGTTTCGGCATGCCGAAACTGCTGAAACTGCCAAAACTAGGTTTCAGCAAGCAACTGAAAACAGTGTTGGCAAATAACCTTGAAATGACCTTTAAATGACCTGATTACATCATGATTTTACTATGAATATATCACGTGATCATATACGAAATGACCTAAGGTCATTTTAAAAAAGTGAAATGACCTCAAAATTTGCCAACACTGACTGAAAATGCCGAAATGCCGAAATGCCGAAACTGCCGAAACTGTTTGGCGTTTCGGCGCAGTATATCATATGATATACATATAGTTTCGGTATTTCTTAATTCAGTTAAGCTCTGATCAGTTTTTTAACTGATCATTGATAATCTAAAACGTTTTTTAAACCGTTATCGTTATTTTTTTTTTAAAAAAAACTTTTTTAACGTTAAAAAGATAATTTAACGTTGAATTTTATGATCGCCCGCCCACCCTTTATTTTAACGTTAGTATATTTTACTAACGTTAATTTTTTTTAATTTTTTTCTTGAATTGTATTAAAGAAACGTACAAACGTTTCTATTTTCTTGTTTTTTAGGATACCGGACTCCTAGGAACTTGAAAGAACC